CATATTATTATAAGCAAACTTTGCCAATGGCAAGAAGATTCTTTAATTATCTTATTGATAATTAATAGTACACCTTAAGTATTGCTCCAAAACTTAGTTTACACACTCTGTCTATCCATTAGTTTGAGGATGAAAGGACAAAAAAAGCTTTATGTCCACCTTTAGAATCTTTAAAAGAGTTTTTCAAAATCTTGATACAAATTGAATCCCCCTATTCGATATAATATCTTTTGATAATCTATGATATTGATAGATATTATCAAAAAAAAGCTTGGCAGTTTCTTCAACTGTGATAGATTTTATGCATGATACAAAATGTGTCATTTTGATAAAACGATCTACTATCACAAATATAGAATGACATGAATCTGAGATTCAAAGATTTATAATAAAATCCATAGAAATAGAAGACCATGGTTGTTCTGAAATAAGTAGTGGCTGAAGAAGTCTATAGGGTCGATGATGAGGAGTTTCTAATCTAAAAAAGTGTCATATGATTGAACAAAGTCTTTTACAGCCTTCTACATTTGCAGCCATCAAAAATCTCTAGATATTAGCTCCAAAGCCTTATTGTATTCAAAATGTCTTGCCATTAGAAAGTCATGACATGCTTGAAAAATATGTAAATGTATTTTTTTTTTTTGGCACATATAGGCATCATTCGAAATAAAGTAAGTTATTCTTAAATTTGAATTTAGAAGTATCACAAGACTTAGAAGAAGTATTCTTGATATTATAAATAAGAGGATTACAAGACATACTTGATTGAATTTGTTTAAAAAAAGTTGAATCAATAGTCAATATTGATTTTATTGTTTGAAGATGAAATTATTCTGGCTCCAATAAAATTGTCCTTTGTTGATCAAAAGCTACATTTCTTTCTTTAGATGTAAGATAAAAATATCTAGAAAGTACATTTGACACATCTTGTTGTTATTCTAGCTGATAAATAATATTGAACTCAAATCTTGATAAAGACATACAAGTTGACATGAAATACTCGAGGTTCTTATAATCCACATATACGATGAAGTGGATTGGAAGTGCTTTTTAGATAATGATGCCATTCTTAAAAAGAATCTACAATTGCAAGAAGCTCTTTATCATGGATCTCATAGTTAAACTTAGCTAGTGAAAATTTCCTTGAGTAAAAAGCTATTGGATGAAGTTTATCATCTATTCCCATTTGTGATAATACGGCACTCAAAGCAAAGTCTGATGCATCTGTTTCCATAAAAAAAATATTTTAGAAAAGTCAATGTGATATAAGTTTGGTACAAAAATAAAGGTTGTTTTTAAAGCTTCAAATACTACTTCCGCTTCTTGATTCTATTGAAGTTTGTCTTTACAAGTTAAACATGTAAGTGGAGCTACAACTTGAAAGAAGTCCTTGATGAAGATCCAATAGTAATTGGCAAATCTCAAAAAACATTTGACATCTCAAATTGTTCTTGAGATCTTCCAATCCGTAATAGTTAGAACTTTTTTAAGATCCATCATAAGTCTATTATTTGAAATCATATAATCTAAGAAGTCAACTTAAGTAGTATGGAATATACACTTTTCTATCTTGGCATAGAATCCAATATCTCTTAATTTTTGTAACACATAACGAATATGAACTTCATATTCTTTTGTATTCTTAGAATAGATTAAGATGTTGTGTAGATAACAAACAACAAAATCATCCAAAAAATCTCAAAAAATATCATTCATAAGATGTTGAAAAGTTGTTGGTGCAAGTCCAAAAGGTAAGACATTATATTTGAAATGTTCATATTTGGTTCAAAATGAGTAGTATAGAAATCCTTAGAGAAATAGAAAATTAGAATGTTAGTAGTGGAAATAGAGTCTTAATAAATCTTATTGAGTCCTTAATAATCAACATACATTTGTAATGATCTATCTTTTTTTTTCACAAATAGAATTGGGACTCCTACTAGAGATTTGGAATGGCATATGAAGTTCTTTGCTAGATTTTCTTTAATATACTCCTTGACTTTAGCCAATTCATTTTGTGGTAAATTGTAGATTGATCCAAATGACAGTTGTGCTCTTTCTTCAAGGTTAATTGAGCAATCATAGGGACAATATTTTGGAAGAATATCTGCATTCTTTTTCTCAAATACATCTTGAAATTCTTCATATTGGCTTAGAATGCCACTTGAAGTCTTTGTACCATTAGAAATGGATGTGGCATAAATGACATAAGGTGATCCTTCTTTTACAGTATGTAAGAAAGTTCTTGCACCTACAAACAAAGATTTAATTGTATTAGACTTGTGATTTTTTACTTAATTAATTACATTCTTAGTTATACTTTTAGAAAAGTCAACAGTATAAAAAATCCAATTTATTCAAGGGTTGTATTTTTTTACTATGATAAATCTAAAATGATTGAATTAGAAGGAGATCTAATAATATTGAATACTACAAACCTATTATGACCATTGGTTATTACTTCTAGAGGAAGGATTTTGTAAGTAACATCTCCAAAAGACAACAAACTACTATCTATAACTTCTACATGAACAAGTTTAGCTTTCTTTATTAAAGATATGTTAAATCTTTTAGCAAATTCTTCATTTAAGAAACATGTTGAGGCTTTTGAATCTAATAAGGCAGAGGCTTTGTAATGTTTAGGTTCTAAAATAATATTTAATGTAAAATAAAGAGAGGACTTTGATGAGAGAATAGAACCTCCATTAGATATTGTACAAGGTTCTAGCCGCACGGTCCTTATTGTAGCTGGACAAACTTATTTTTCAATATATTATCTTCTTTGACATTCATACTTTTAATTTTATAATTGCATCACTTCTTTGAACAATGTTGAACAGTGTGCTTGAATTCTCTATAATATAAGTATAAATCTTCTTGATGGCAACAAGTCTTTTTGCCTCAGTAAGAGGTTTGAAACATACCACATCAATTTGTATATTCTCTACTTCCAAATGTATGTGATGAAAAGGCGTTGATATTGCCATTGAATTATAATAATATTAAGACCTACTTCTCTAACTTTTATATCAAAATTCAAAAAGTCAATTATCACACTTCAGAGTAAAGTCATTAACTTGACTTAATATTTGAGGATCACGTAAGCTGAACATCAATTTATTTACCTCATATTATAATCCATAGAAAAATTAGGTAATAAGTACAACATTATCTAACTTGATATCAATTACAAATTGTCAAAATTGTGAAGCATATAATGTTACAAATCAATTGCCTTGTGAAAAATATAAATCTTGTTAGTTGCAATACAAGTTGCATCATGTTTTCCATACATGGATCGAAACTTTGCTAAAAAAGCCTTCAAATTATTTAATATTGGATCTTGTCATTCAAGAAAAGATCAAAACCACGATAATGTTGAATCTGAAAGAAATGTACCAATAAATCTAACTTATGATCCTATAGTTGGATAACTTTGGAGTTGAAGTTCAATCACAAGTTGTATTTGATTGATAAATCTTCAAAACTTGGATCTTATGCCATCAAACTTTTCAGGTTGAACAACTCTTGGTTCTTTAATACCGGAAGGATGTTCTATTGTAAGAGAAGGGACATGATTGGATGTAGATATTGAAGAAGCTCCAATCATATCTTCACTTCTTGCCATTCTTGTTGCTCCTTGTGGTAGTAAATTGAGTTGATGCATCACAAGCATTAACTCCCTCAATTACTCTTGTATTTGTGCCATTACACTCTTTATTTCAATAAACTCTGTCATAATAATACTTAGAAAATAAATGTCTAATATTGCTGAAGACAAGCAAAAGAAGGGACTTGAGAACAAAGAAGATATTAAGAATAATATTACTTTAGAAGATGGTTATCCGCAACTTCTAATACACTTATATTTTATCAAAAAAAAGAGGTAATCCACTCTTAATCAAGAAAAGACAAAATGCTAATATTATAAGTATAGTCTTGTTAATTTATCAAGGATATGAACTAGAAGAAGATGCATAAACTTGGAAAATCTGTATCAAAAGAAAAGTGACAAAATAGCAATAAAATAGTATATATATTAAAAAGAAACTGAAATGGCTATTGTCAAAAGACAGGAAACTATAGACTCTAGAATCTAGATTAGAAGTAAGAAAGGAGTTGACAAGAGTGAAGAAGGCTTCATTCTTACTTTCATATATACTATTTAACTAGGAGCTATATGACTATGTTCTATAAGACTTCTAATATGTGTTGACTTTGCAAGACATATGCTTTAACTTATGAGGTAAGTTTTCTATGTGTGGGCCACATAGTTAACTTGTTCTTCAAACTACCAATATGTGTGGGACATGGCCAACTTGTTGACCATATTTCTAATCTAAAAAATCAATTATTGACACCTATAAAATCAAAGCAGCATCTCTGAAGCTTTTAGAAAGCTTTTATAAAAGATATTATGGAAAAAACCTTTTTTTACTTACTTTTATCTAGTCATATAAGTAATTATTGGTTTACATGTGTATGTCTGTGACAACCAATCCCTCATATTCTTCTCTCCATGTTCTCAAATCTCATCTCAATCCTCCTCATTCTCCCTTCTTCTCCACAATAAGGTAGATCAATTTAATAAATGGGTGGTTCATTTTAACATTTAACACTTTCTCTCTCTCTCTCTCTCTCTCTCTCTATATATATATATATTCACACACTAAATAATCTTCTTGTGCTTTTGTGCTTCTTAGATGAATTAATTTTTACTCAACCCTACCTATTTTGAATTATACATAATATTAATTTTATAAACTGGACAATGAATCAGAAAAATCACGTGTCACATCATAGAACCCTGTCAAATGTTTTACCTCCCACTCAACGGATGTGTCCTACGTGGCACGCAGGTCTTGTCCAGCGCGGCGACGAAGCGAGCTCTGACGTGGCATGCGATCGAGCGGGTGGGACGGGTCGATATCAATCGGATACCAATCCAATCCAACCGTCCCGGGATCACGCCAGCAGAGGAGAGCAGGGGAGGCTTTCTTGCAATGGCCCCGCCTCTGATCCCCTTGTTGCACTATCCTCTAATTCTCAAATGTGCTCTCGCCGAGCCACAATTGCGTGCAAGTTCATGGCCACCGCGATGAGAGAGCGAGAGAGAGAGAGAGATTGTAGTAGCAGAATATGACCTCTTGGCGAAGCTGGGATGCATTGAGCTTGAGTGAACACAGGTAAGAAGAATGCGGGGCGGCAATCTCTCTGGCAGTGAAGGTGAGGAAGATAAGATTGCTCGCTCGATAGGAGTTGTGCGTGGAAGAGGAGTAGCTGCGCTGGTTTCATCAATTGCGGTGTGAATGGCTTCCTTCCTGTGTAGGAAAAACGTAGAGTGAGAGAGAGAGGGAGAGAGAGGAACGGGAAGTCGAGGGGAATTCGTTCTCGGGATTTGTAGGTAGGAAGGAAGGCATTTAAAGCTTTCAAGAGATTGTGTGCGAGCGGATGAACACGGGCGTGCTCGTAGGAATCTTTGGTGCAGTCGGAAGAGGAATTGAGACATCAGGGAACAATGGCTTGTGCAAGCGTTACAGGTCACCTTCTGGAGTCGGGCTTGGTGGTGCCTGTGTGCAGGACTCGGAAGCCTTCTTCCTTCTCTCCTCCTAAACCGAGTGAGCTCTCCTTCACCTTCCTCATTCCTTAATTTATGAAAGGGTTTCTGTAGCCTTATTTTGCTAATTTTTGCTTTGAAATTCTGTCTTGATTGGTAAGGCTTGACAACTCTTATTGCTACTACAGCAGGTTTTGGTTTCCACGTTTTGATATTATAGGTTACGAGGGTTGTGAGATTATGGCTTTGTTAATCGTAGGATCCCAATGCGGGATGTAAGGGAAAGGTTTAAGTATGTAGTTTATTTCTACTGTCTGGGCTGCCCAATGGCTCTCCAGCATTAGTTGTAAACCAACCATATATCCTCGAATGCTTGTCGTATAGTACATAGCAGGCCATGATCCTGCATAGTTTTCTGGAGTAGTGCCCAGAGAATTGTACAAGAAAGTACTAGCTGTGGCCATGAAAGGTCTCGTTCTACACAGGGTTACAGTGGCCATGAAAGCTTTTAATTTGTGGTATGGACGATTAATATGGGAAGTCCTATGATCCTCACAATTGCACCATTCACCTCTTGCATTCTGATTCAATCCAAGGAACGTTGATCTCGTGCAAGGAATTGGATTTGAGTCAACTATAGGGACCTATACATGCCAATGTCTTGTCATTTAAAAATCCGTCACGACCTGTTTCAATATTTCAAAATCTTCCTTCTATACAGTTTTTCCTCTAATATCGTTTAGAGAGAAAGATATACTGTCTCTGTGCAATTCATCACCTGAACAATGGCCACAGTCGCTAGCACGAGAAGTAAGGAGGCTAATTAGAAGGGTGTTTCTTCGAATGCTTGTATTTCGTTACAAATATCTTTCCGCTAGGTTCTAGAAAGGTACCGACCTTGCTTCTTTGAGTTAGGATTTTCGTATTTTCAAGGCCTCATGTAGCACTGAACGATAACTCATGAGTATCCTTTTTCTCATGTGCAGCTTTGAGGGTTTTAAGTTGAGTGGCAACCTAAATTGCTTTCACAGTGTTCTTCCGTTGATAATGTGAACTGTTTTGCAGAATTTTTTACTGTTCGACGATCTCTTGCGATCAGAGCGATGTCAGGAAGTCCAGCAGTTTCCCTCAAGGAGAAGGAAGGTACTCCGAAAGGAAGTATGGGCTCCCTCATCAGTACTGATCCTCCGAAGGGGACCCGAGATTTTCCACCCGAGGACATGCGCCTGCGTACATGGCTGTTCAACAATTTCAGAGAGGTTTATTTATTATATCTTTAATCCCCTTGCTTTTGGCATGAATCCTAGCACATATTATGATTCGTTACTTTTGCGGCCATATTACTGGGATGGAATACATGACTGCTGGTGAGTTATCCGGTAGCGCTCGTGGCTTATGGTATTTATTTTTGCGGAATTCATTTTACTTCACCAAGTTTCTAAGCTTACAAAGCGTGTCTTCTTGTTCATTTTGGTGGTGCAGGTGTCTAGGTTATTTTCTTTTGAGGAAGTCGACTTCCCATTAGTAGAGTCTGAAGAACTTTATACCCGCAAAGCTGGTGAAGAGATTGTTGGGCAGGTACGGAATCCCTGATCCAGTGCGAGAATAATGTATTTTAATAAGTGAATTTTTGCCAAAATTTGTGCACCTATAATGTAAATTACATCTATGTTAAGTTTCCCTCCGTATACGTGGGATGCGTAGTGGGTATGGATCAAAAGAAATGGTAAATCTACTTATGCGAGTGCTGATATTTAGAACTGTATCGATGCAGCTCTATAATTTTGAGGACAAAGGTGGGAGAAAGGTGGCGCTACGGCCTGAACTCACACCCTCTTTGGCCCGCCTTGTATTGCAGAAAGGGTCAGTTCTCTCTGCTCTAATCTTCATTCTCAGTTTACCTTTACTGTGGCGAAATTTCTTCTTTGTATCATTGGAGCCTGTTCAGTTATGTAAATTTGCAGGACCAACTATTCCTGAAAAATTCTAGTTTTCCCCTATCTTCGCAGGAGAGCACAATCGTACCCTTTGAAGTGGTTTGCTATCGGCCAGTGCTGGCGGTATGAGCGTATGACCCGCGGACGTCGCAGGGAGCACTATCAATGGAATATGGACATCATTGGTGTTCCTGGAGTTGAGGCAAGCAACGCGTACTTAAGTAAATGATTATTTTGGAACTAGAATGATTCGTGTCTATTATACTTGTATGACTATTGTCTTCTGTGCTGTTGCTTGCATAATTTTTGGCAGTCTAAATATTGAATCAACCTTATATCAAGGATCAAAGAGAAAAGCGTGGATTTGGGCAGTGATCACAAGGTTCACCGCCTGGACTTAAGAGCATGGATGCACATTGGTGATCTTAGATACTGCTACTGTGATGCCTAATTAATAATATTGGAGCAAAAAAATGCAGTTGAGTATTGAGTATGATTTTCCAACTTCTGTTGTTTTTACTTTTGCAGGCTGAAGCTGAGCTCTTGTCAGCTATTGTGACATTTTTCACAAAATTGGGCATCACGTCTAATGATGTTGGGATCAAAGTTTCGAATAGAAAGGTTTGTGATCCTTTACTTTATCGTACAATTTCGTCAAAGCATTCTTGAGTCCTTTACTTATTGTCGTCCCATATTAATGCAATTCTTGAGAAGAGGGTTAGGGTATAACTTAACAAAAGCATAGCTCGGACGCGATACAGGTGCTTCAAGCAGTACTGGAGAAGTTCAACATCCCGGTTGATTCCTTTCCGGCCGTGTGTGTGATTGTTGATAAGGTACATTACACATCTTGCTTCTGGAAATAGGGGGTTTTGCTAGTGACTTGTACAATGTAAGTTTGTACGTGACTTGATACGGTTTACCACTTGTTGTAAGTGTGATAGATATTGGTCATTGTTTACCAGATTTTTTGATCCTCGTGTCAGTTCTGTTCTGGTTAGCGATGCTGCACACATGCTGCTTTCATGGAATGGTACAGGAGCAAAGATTGCACTGGATTCTTTCTTGCCATTTATATGTGTCTTTTCACCATCCATGTCGATGTATGTGTCAGTTGGAGAAACTTCCAAGAGAGGAAATCGAGGGTGAGCTGGATAAAGCTGGTGTCCCTAGTAATGCCGTTGAGGGAATCTTGAAAGCACTTAGTCTTAAATCGTTTGATGATCTCGAAGGTAGTGATTTTCATGTGATTTCGGTGTGAACGCTTTTGTGGTGCATAAATCTGATCAAGTTAATTTGCTAATCATATACGGTTGCGCTATCCCCAGCAGTTACCCAAGCGACTCTACAGAGATCACAATGAACTTTGTCTTGCTTCTGTTTCGTTCTTATAAACAATTTTGTATCCTTCAATTTTCACTCGCCATAGTTAGTCTTTCTTTAGCTGAAGAGTCGTGCGATGAGCATTTGGAATTTTGATTTTTAATTGACATATAAGTTTGTGGTTTGCAGCTCTGATAGGGGCACAGAGTGGTGCAGTGGCAGAGTTGAAGCAACTCTTTGCCTTAGCAGAAGGTTATGGTATTCAGGATTGGCTTCATTTTGATGCCTCAGTGGTGAGAGGCTTAGCGTACTACACCGGGACCGTATTTGAGGTGAGGTTCCTCTGACATAATTTGCCGGTCATCTCTTTTACACCTTTTTGGTCATCCTCTGGAAGTGGCTAAAGATTTTGAAGGCAACTATAACTTCCACTCAGTAATTAGCAACAGTAAATGGATGTATTGGAAGCAATTATGATATCGTATGCATCGACTTCCTGTGGTAGATCATGTCTTCGTATGTTTTCTGTTAGTCTCTCTGTAGGTGTTGATTTTTTTGTTTTAGTTCTGGTGTTCGCTGTGTTGCAGGGTTTTGACAAGGACAAAAAGTTGAGAGCTATATGTGGAGGCGGTCGTTATGACAGGTTACTTTCCACCTATGGAGGCCAAGACACACCTGCTTGTGGATTTGGTTTTGGAGACGCTGTTATTGTCGAGGTCAGTAAGTTATTCCATGAATTATGATTTTTAAAGTACGTTTCGAAGAGGAATTTGACCTCTAGCTTGAAATTGAACTTGGTGGACATGGTTTTTGGATAGCGTCTATACAAATGAAGTTGAAACTGTTTTCAAAATCCCAGAACTTGGTTTAAAAGAATGGAAGCTCGAAAATTAGTTGTAAACAAATGGAAAAAGCTTTAGCACAGGGAATTTGGGTACTTCGATAAGAACTTCTAGCTGCACGAAGATATTTAGATGCTTTAATTTTTTTAAATTTATTATTATCATTATTATTATTTTTTATGATGCATATTTCGCCTCTTTAGTAAAATTTCTGATAAGGTGTTCCACTAGGATTAACGGGTTAACTTTAAAATGATGGTTGTATTGGTGATATCATACAGCTTCTGAAAGAGAAGAAATTGCTGCCTGTTCTCCCCCATGTGGTGGATGACGTTGTGATGGCTTTGGAAGATTCATTAAGAGTACCTGCAGCAGGAGTTGCTGCTCGCTTGCGCAGTAAAGGTCGGGTTGTTGAACTTGTCATTGAGAAGGGCAAGAAAATGAAATGGTAAGCTTTTGTAGTTGCCCCACAAGCCATCATAATAAATCTAGTAAAACTGCAAAACAGCGCCTAGTGGTGTTTCATTAAACCAGATCTACGCATATGTCAGGTTTGTTAGTTTTGCCTTCATTATTGTACGGGCAGTTTACAGTCAATGATATGAAAGTACTGTGACATACTCAAATCGTGGTCAACGCCTGAATGGATAGACATTACTATCTTTCCTCATCTAGTGTTGTCTTCGAAAGATCAAATAGGCTGGTTACGATGGTGGCATGGAGCTTATAACTCTGCTTTATCAGTTTGAGAATAATACGGTGGTGTGCCTTTCAGGGTGTTTAAACATTGTGACACGCTGAAAGCTAAGCGTTTGGTGCTTCTTGGTTCAACCGAGTGGGACCAAGGGAAAGTAAATGTGAAGGATTTGGATGCGCGAGAACAGACATTGAAGACAGTGGATGAGCTCATCGAAAGTACATAGGTGCCTTTGAGGTATTCCTTGTTCACCGGCAGAAGTTATGTACGCTATCAAATAGCTAATACACATTCTTTGAGAGGCTCGTCCTTTAGTTTATACCTTCTAAGTATTACAGTATTTGGTCTAGATATCTCACACAAGACTACCATTTTTACATTATCAAACACATGGGAAGTAGTAATTACTGCCCCTTGTGATGATTTTCTGTTCCTGTAGCACACAATGCAGTTGCAGTTCTCAGTAATTCAACGCTTGCGGCACTTTTTGTTTGATAATCAGAGCGGGGCTGGGCTGTAATCCCCTTCAAAAATACATATTGGAGCAACGACAGCGTGTCTCAGTAGTATCTAGAGAAATTTGAGAACATTTCAACCAGTGCATTTTTAGGTGTTCAAGGATTTCTTGCACAATATGACCACTGTAAATCCTGTGGCTATGATTCACAGCTAAGGCCTCGATGTTGCTGAGTTACAAATCTCAAACCAGCCATTTTTGGGTTTTGAAATATTAATTACAATTAATCACATTATAGATAATATAGAGTTAAATGCAGTGAATACAGTTACTAAAATAACCCTCTTTCTGTGACATTCCTCGAATTCTTTTTTAATTTAAGCATTTTAATTTTGGGACTACGGACTAAAAAAAATGCTTCCAGTACATCACACAATTATTCGACAAAAGAAACTTTCTCAATAGAGCAATAATCTTGCAACACAATACCGGTGCAACATTTACTTTATTAGCTGTACAAGAAAATGCTGGTGAGAACACTTTACTGACCTCACAATAATGGATCTAAGATACAAACTTGTGTACGCAGGTATGCTTCACAGTGACAACTCGTGAAAATTTTAAATAATGGCACAGCGAAAACGAATATCACAAACTCTATGATGAAGATTGACAAGATCATACAAAAACATTTTAAGAAATACATGAAACATTTTTTGAACACAATCTCCTTCCTCCTATGTCTGCAACGCGTCGTAAGAGTGCAACCCATCACGGGAGCTCCGAATACATCAACGTGAGCCACCTTTGAGGTGTCTCTCTATGTACATGTCCACCAAAGACCGTATCTGCAATCTCACAACCACCAAAGCACACCGCACAAAATATTTATGACCGCCATATGTACCAATCTCTAAACCGGTGCAACATTCCACAATCCTCCACCCAAAACCGCTAACTGACGACATGAAGAAGGTACCAGAATCTCGCAATATGTGCATTCACCACCCCACGTTTAATTTCAAATTGCACTGTCAACAAGGCTAAGAACTCCATCCAATTTGCTACAGTGATATATCAACAAATCAGTTCTCAAGATAAGGTAACAGCTCTGCCATTTCTGTCAAATCTCCATCTACCTTCGCTTGGTCAATCTTTCAGCACACAACAAAACTCATCGCCGCATCTACAGCTTTCAGTTCTTCCAATCAAACATTTCAGAGAAAAGAACACATTTCATTCATGCTAAACCATCATGCTTCTTATCATTTTAAACCTTACCTTAACTTTCCGTTTCAAGTTCAGAAACTCAGAGACGTCCATGTTGTTGTCTCTTGAAGTGCTCCGGTCCATAACCTGCAAAGTTGGCAACAGTCGGCGAACGTGAAAGTCAAAAAAAATCTTCCTAATAACCCCTTCACATGTAAGATAATACATTCAAAGACGGCGATTCCGACTAGGAGGTGGTTCGGAACTCCGGATTCAAACTCGTCCCACATGTTCCAACACTAAAAACCAGAACATTGCCCACCTTGGCAGTCGACTTTTTCACTATAGCTTTGAAATCATCTTTCTGTAACTTTTTCGTCTTATACAGGGGAGTCAATAGCTGAACCACGTAATCGGAGACCGCCTTCTTAATTACATCTGCGCCTCTCCGGTTGTCTATAAGTTCATTGCTTAGCTGTGAACAAGCCACACCAGGTGACGGTTTGCTGACGTACTCCACCCCTCCTGCTAAACCCTCCGTTCCACAAACAGCTTCCTCTACTGCACTTGATAAGTCGTTTCTTATACAATTGGTAGTGATCACAACATCCACCGAGGACATTCTGACGTCTGCATTTGTTCCAAAGCCATCACCGTGGGCTTCAGGGTGCCCATTTATGTCGCTCGCTGCAACACATGTGACTGGTAGACTAGGAACCAGCCCTTGCCCTTGCTCAATGGGTGTATTCTGATCAGTGCTACCAATGACATCACAGCCATTTGCCTGAACAGTCGATATACAGCCGTTTTCTAGTACCACTCTCTGCTCGACAGCTGCACGGCAATAATCATCCAGGATTAACTCTTAGGCAATCATACTTGCAGATTCAAGAAAACTCTAATTCACCACCAAACCCATATGACTGCTTGAACGAAATACTTGTGAGGTCTTTACTACCAAGATTAACCCCATATACACCATCCGAGAACTACACATTGAATACATAAGTCACTTCGAGAAAGCTGTATTTACAACGTTTGCCATTTAAAATTCAACAAGAAGAGAAACGATCACAGCAGAAGAAGCACAAAAACATCTTGCAGCCACGAGAGGCATGCATACAACCATGAGACTGAGCTTCTCTAGCCTCAGCGTTGCCGTCTATGAAGAAAACAATGCGACTACAATAAATACCTAGCAGAGCGTTGAAGGCTGTAGATATTGGAGGATTGTCGGCTATTCCTAGCCAGCTTCTTGTCCTCCAATCCAAATTATCCTCCTTGTCACGCTTGGAAAATTTGTAAAATGATGGGATCTTCGGCAGTTGTGGAAGAGTATTTCGTTGAGCCTCCACTTGTGCGTACGCCTACAAATATCACAACTCAGTCCAAGCTGATTAGAGTGAGACTTAATACGCCTGCACATGCTTACACATACCTCTCCTCATCGTTTCGAGGAATGTAACAAGATTTCTCATTGTCACTACCTATATCACCAAGCCCGGTATGTTCCACGAAGTACAAGCCACACCAACGTCAACACTATACCTTATCTCTTCTCAGTCGCGATAATCAATTCTTGATGCACAACAATCAAAATATATAAACCACACACCTAAAACTCACCTCTGCAGCTGCAGCTGCTGCAGCCCGTGCCTGCTCTGCAATTTCAATGGCATTGATCTCCAACTTGGACAATCGTCTCTCAGCATTTCCCTCTTCGGAATCTCTCCATATTTCTGAGCTTGGAATACCTTGAAGCCCGGGCTGATCGCTCTTCACCTCCTCACCATTCGATACCTACATGGAAAGAGGATCAAAAACATCTTTCACAACCGGCCGATGTCCAATCGACATGCAGAACAAGAAACTAAAGACGGTACAACGACTTCACGAATTGATTATGACGGTAGTAAACAGTTAACAAATTCCTTTTTTAACACCTTACATAAACGCTAGATGTGCTTCCAAATGCTCATCACTCCGTACTGTGACAGAGCGAGTTGACGGACCAACTTGATGAACCTCAATATGAAGCTTTTCGTGGCGTACAGCATTGGTATGTCCAGACTCCAAAAGAATATGATCCGACTCCAGACGTGTACCTTGCTCTGTCCACCTGAAGAGGAATCACCACTAGGTGAAGCAGATTGGTTGGGAGGCCTACACTTCGAAGCGCTGCAAGGTGCAGGAATCAACTTAGTGCTACCCAGCGCACACTTCTGAGTATCTAGTACTTTCGTCGTCGGACGTGCGGTACATGCACTCGGTGAGCTTCCAGCAGACTTCCTGATTGATTTTATCATCCCTAGTGCTTTCTCTCGTCTGAAAACTTCCATCCAAAGTTTCACAAGTTGACCAGCAACGGTTCGAATATCACGACTAGTATGCATCCACAACTTCTCCTTCACGGTTTTTCCGACACCTGAACCAAGCAAACCGTCAGAAATTCATCTTCAATAACATGTCATCCTTCATCCACAAAATCCCAAGCGTGAGACATCCTACGCCAAATTAACAACGAGAGCAAATAGGCTGCGGTAAGATGATCAAGAGTCATGACAGTACCCGACTGACGAATAGAAGATAAATCGGTAGCCACCACAAGAAGCAGTCGAACGCAATGCCGAAGAAGCTGGATCCCATCCTTGCCCATCGAGTCCTACAGAGACCCACACATCCCACCAGCGCAATATCAGAACCGCAATCAAACGTGTGGCCTCTGCAAATCAAGCCCAATGATCCAGGTGACCACACAACACATTCAACCGCAGTCCCTGTTATCATAGTCCACGAAACAAAATTGCCTGAAACGCATAGCTTACACATGTTGCCAACTGTGCCAACACGCACACATCAGATACATCGTGCTGCATTATGTCTCAATTCATTCCACCCCTCACAGTGGCGAGTACACATAAGGTGGGTACCACAAAGAATGTAGTAATCACCTTTGACCAAGCGGGCTCATAGAAGAGAATACACGGCAGACATATCTGATTGGTAACGTCCGAAATAGTAAGATCGTACCATGATCCACGTATTCAAAATCTCCAGCCCAGATTTCGTCCCAGCGAAAGCCTTCAGAGGAAAAACTGGCAGTTGCAACATCTCTTTGATAAGAAAAAGCCGTCCTGCTGTCGTCTTCGCGTTACCGAACATGTCATTCAAAAGGTCTGCACGGCTCAGAGGTCCCCCTTCTCCGTTCATCGCACCTGTCTCTGCCCTCAATACGTTCGACAGCTCCGCCGCTGCCAATCGTTTCATCATGTCTCTCACCTGCACGTAAGCGGCACACATTCAAACATCCCAATGCCTGAATTATTCGTCGTGTCCTCATTCCTCCACACAGGCCGTCCTCTCACTTAAAAAATCCAACCAGATCCGCTCCACAAAAAGAACACCCACCTCATTCCTCTCGCTTTCTGATTGACGCTGCGCAGCCGCCAGTGCTTCCGCCTCTGCCATGGTATCCCCACGGTTCTCCATAATATCCATGACCCTTATCGCCTCCCTCAAGCCACTCATCATCGCACCCCCCACCGTGTCCGGGTGCTCCTTGCACGTTGCTTCCCCTGCGAAGTACACGCAGTTGTCCACCGGCCGCGCCAGAATGTCGTAATCCTCGCCTGACGCCCCCACTGCTACATACGAATAAGCTCCCCGACTGTAAGGATCTTTTCCCCACTTCGTCACTGTGGAGGCCACTGGCTCCGGTACCGCCTCCTCTCCGAATAACCTCCTCAAAATCTTAACAGCGTGATCCACCAGTTCCCCACTCTCCTCTTCCTCCCCCTCCTTTGCCGCTATGCCCACCACCAGTGCCACCAGGATCGGATACCCACTCGTCCTCTTCAGGTTCCAGAACATGAAGCACCTCCCGCGTGCCAAGCTGCACCCCGCCGTCGCCCCAAAATAATCCACATTCTCGTCCCAAAAAGCCAACGGGAACTCCAACACCACCTTGTTCAGCACCCCGAATCCCAGCCGCTTTATCGACGCCGTCTTCCACTCCGGAAGCTCAGGGCTGAAACGGATCGTCCCAGCTTTCAAACACCCCAGCGGTACCGTAACAAGCACCGCGTCGCCCAAAAACTCCTCTCCATCTTCCGTCATCACCCTCACTTCCCGCTTCACCTCGCCTCGCGACTTCACTTCGCTGCAGCTGTGACTGATCTCTGAGACCACCCTTCCAAACCGGATGTCCAAACCTTCGCTCAATGCCTCCACAGCCTGACTGTACCCTCCTTTGATCATGCAGTGAGGCCCCCCGAATCCCCCATACACGTCATCTTGGTTCCAGTAAGGCAACGACACCACTTGCAGCTCCGCGGCACATCCATACTCCAGATTCGCGAAATGCCAGTCCATGATTCGCCGCTCCAACTGATTCAAATCCCCTTTCAAGGTCCTCACCTGCTCCGCGCCCATAGTCCCTCCGTTCATCAACTCCAACCTCGTACCTACCTTCTCCTCATTAGCAGACTCTGAGATTGCTAGGTTCTCCGACGCATCGCTCACCGTCAGCGTCTCACCAATCACATCGCTCGTCGTCACCGTTACCACCCTTTCCAACTCTTCCGCCGATGGCTTTACCAGTGACAAACTTTGGGTTTCCATTCTGCTCTGCTCAGACCCTTCCCCCGCCATCGACATGTCGTCACGTACGTCACCATTGCGTCCACGTCGTCTTTTTTTCAGACATTGTTCCAGGCCCTCTGCCAGGCACAGCCGCATCGCGTCACCCCCATTCTGTGCAACCATCAGCACCGTGTCGTCCAGTAAACTATTGTACTCCGCCTCCAACGCGGCGTCCAAGTCCGCAGGGACCTTTTCTCCACTCACGGAATCATACAACGGGCAGTCCCCACGCAACGTCGTCAGCTCCAAATCCAGCTGCTTGCACAAAAGAGCAGAAGGATCGGCCCTTCGTTCAGTCGCCACATCTGCCTCTACACCTGCCAAAGTCCAACGCCTTTTCACCATAAGTTGCAACACAACCGCCAGCATATCCAAATCTACAGGCCAGACCACAACGATCCACCATCATAAAACAAAGCCCTCTACTCACCTGTAATGATGCTCGCCCCCAAATCCACGGGCGCAGAAAACGTTTTCTTGTCCGTGTACACACGCCCGCCCACGCGCTCCCGAGCCTCCACAATCGTCACTTGGTATTTCATCCGTTGCAAATGTCGAGCCGCTGACAGTCCCGCAGGTCCCGCACCCACCACGATCACTCGTTTCGTACCCTCCTGCTTAAATTTCAAGCCCCTCTCTCTCTCCACCTGAGCCGCTGCCCTCATTGCCACCAGCCCTTCCACAAGTACATCGCACTTGTGTAGCTCGCGCAACACCTGCGCGCTCTTGAATTCGTCCAGCTCATCTTTTGATGCAACCAAGTCGCACCCTTCTGCTTCCACGGATTCTGATCCCGCGTCTTCGAACTTCCTCGTATTCGTCCCATGCCGTCTACGAACGAACACTTGGTCCAAAGTGGCCATGTCGTCTATCTCATTGTCCACCTCTCCGTTCAGGTCCTCGCACTTCTCTTGGGGCTCCGCTTTGCACAACGTAATCTGGGTGAATGAACTCAGCGGCTTGATTTCGTCCTTGTCGACTTGCTCTAATACCGAAGTAGACTCTACTGCATCCGCATTCAGACCCACCTCGATGTCCATGGGTATGCATTCCCCATCTGCAGCCCCTCTATTCAGCGGCTGGACCGAACTGTTTCTGTTTTCTGTAATCCTGGTCGTAGATTCGTATCCATCCTGACAAGAATCCACTCGTCCATTCGGAACATCACAATGAATTTCCTCCTTCATCGTCCCTGTGCTTGCGTTCCCTCGAATTTGATCTGCCAAATGCACTAAATCGTAAATATCTCTATACACTTGGAAATAGGCAAAATACAACCGTCTCTGCATCTACACGAACCTAACCACAATCCACGTGTTCTAGCCACTGTGAAAGGAACAGTACAGCAACACAACCTGCATGCCCCTGTTAGCTACCTTCTTCACCACTACCTAAGAAAGGAGTCGTGGAGCACTCACCAAGAATCAACGCCACTTCTTCAGCTAAGTCCAATTCTGCCCCCTCAAATACTGATTCAGCACTCTCACTTCCTCTTAAGTTGCCATTACCTTGGTTGGCATGAACACCTCCATACTTCTGCCGCTTATTGGCTACACCGAAGTTAATGTAACCCTGTCACACATACCCACAACAAAGATCCTCGTCAAATAAAATAAAATAAAATAAAAACAGGATTGCCAACGTGGTTCACATCCTCCAATCGAGCTACTCCAACAAACGTCCGGTAGCAATCTAGACTGTCTTTGGAACATGATGAGGTCATGCTTCTTCTTTGCGCACCACGTTTACGAACCCTAGTCTGATTATTACAACTATGAAACGAACAAAAAGCAAGCTGAGTTCATTACAGGCCCAGCTTGCGCAACCGCACCGCTGCACCACTGCCTCGTACTACAATAATTCCTCATTGCAGTTAGCTGAATCCTACCAGATTCCTGTATAAACATTACGCTTACATGGTAGTCCAGAAATCTGTGTATCTCACGAATGAGACCAGCTCGAGCTGGCTCTCCCACTAATGGCTCCTCCGAGATGCCGCAGTCCGTCACCATCAACAAGTGTTGCACGTCTTTCTCCCACATCCCCAGCACTAGGTTCCTGTCAGACACAGCCATTATCAAACCTTCAGAGCAGGACAGCTACGTATCCTATAGAAGATCACTTACTGGCTCCACTTCTCTATATCACACAACTCCGACTCATATACACCTCTAAACCTGACCAAGCTCCCCTAGCCTCATCAAAACTGTAAAACGGAGCAACGCCGACAAAGCTCAGGCTTCTCCACTAAACACGACTAGCAACCAGACCTGCACTCTAGATACTCCTGAAGGCCACCGCGTCGTTTCAAAGCATCCTTGAAGCAGACTCTCTCTGCTCCACTCAGAGTCCGGGCTCGCAGACCTGCTGCCACAGCTGCGGCCTCCCCGGAAAAAATATGACCGGGCGAAGCAAACGCCGAGCCACCCTTGCCACGCCCTCTGCTCAGCTTATCGTTTCCAGGGTGTGAGTTACAATCGAACGGCACCTCTGCTACTCCAATAATCACATCCCACTCCATATCGCCCTCGTAAGCCATATCATCGTGCCTGACAAATCAGCATTTTTAGGAGGGTTTGTGAATGACAGAAACAAATAGCTATTTCACATACACCACCCCTGCAAAACAGGCTATGAGACTTAACTTCCAAAAGACATGAAACAAGTAAGGGAGCCACAAGGATCCCTTAGACGCTGTCCAATCCTTTTCAATTTACGCGGCTATGATAAGCTCCTTCGGCTCTCTGAGAAACCGTCTGAGGTGGCTACCACAATTGGACACATGGAAGATGACACAACTAGAGAAGATGCAGCATACAGGACCAGGGCATCAGCAACAACTCCCTGATAAAGACTACCACAAGAAGTAAAAAAAGAAAAGAAAAGAAAAGAATTGCCTGCGCTTCTTCGATTGCCGAGGAGCCCTACAGGACTCCATCCTTCCTTTCTTAGTGCTCCTCTGAAACCCACTGTGCAAACGATTTTTCTGTGGGCCGCCCTTTACAGCTCTGTCACCTTGTCTTAGTTTTTTATCGACCTCGTAAACCCAGTCTGTTCTGGACAGACTAGAAGAAGATTTCATTTTCTCTGCCCCTAATGGATCCATCGAAGAATGGAGAACACCAAGAAGGGAAGGACTTCGCTCTTCCGTCGGCGTCCTTCCAACAATCGCTCTGAGAACAAGCTTTTTCACATTTCCCTTCAACATCATGCACAATGGTTGATTGTCATCCAAAGAATCCTCCGGCTCTGCACCCAGATCCTTGGCGTCTTCTCCGATTTCCTCCGAAACCGCCCCGTTATCCAATCTGATGATTTCTTGCGAGGTCTCTGTTAAATCTGCTGCTATCGCTATTGACCTCTTCCCCATACCCATGGTGGCATCGATGCAGTCCTGTGTAACTTCGTCACCGGCGACAAGCTCATCGGCTAGGAACATCCCTCCTACTGAACCTTCGTCAAGTTTCTCCGACGATTCTACAAGGACGGGGATTTTATCTAGAACCTCGGATGAGGAAATAAACGATTCATGCTTGTCCCCTATCTTGGGACCCGAAAGCTTAGCGAGAGAAACGTGATATGCGTCCAATACGGACGAGGGGACAGGAGACAAGAAGATACCTGGGGCCATCTGTGCAGACACAATTGTATCTGATCTATCCCCAGAATCATGCACCTCCATCGATTGGTAAGAGCGCAGAAATTACACAACACGCCAATCCATACCTGCCACCAGCACGCCCAAGTCATAGACTTGCATGCGCCACGAGATTTCTTACTGGGATACGCCCTCCGTATGCTACTTCAGCTTCCTTCAGGGTCCATTTGCTCACTCCATCATTCTCCACGTCCTCCAAAATCCACTCTTCCAAATGCATCGCAAATTTCTGTCATGGAGCCAAAGCGTTCACCCCCTGCTCCACTCAGTACCACTACTTCACATTTTCATCCACCACCCCACTCATGATTTCCAAGAATACTGGATGCAATCGATAAAGAATCCAAGTATATGCTCCCATACGATGCAGTGGAAAACCTAACCCTGGCCATAGCTGTTACGATTCAAGGTTTATCGAAACGTGTGTAGAAGACCATGGTGCTCACCATAGCCTCGCTTTCAAAAGAAACAATTCCGACAATTTCACAACAAATTGCACCTCCCTGGGATAGTGAAAGAGGGACAAATTTTTAGGCAAGTTGCAAGTAAGTGGTACAAATCAAAGCACAAACCAGCAGTTGAACAATTTTGAACAAGGAATTTAACTGACACATCCTTCGATTATGACATGGTCAGAAACACTAATCCGACGACATCGCGATAACCAATTTATCAGCTCTCGACAAAGGACACACACATTTGCGCAGAAAGAGATTCAAGACAAAAACTATCTATTTCAACCTCGGAACATCCTCATCTCCTTTGCGAATGATCTATACGGACTAAAAGCGATGCATTTCACAATCATCCATCCTTTCGCTGCCAGGTGGTAGACGAACACGTTCATACGGAGGATGACACAATGAGGTCGAAAAAGATGAGACTCTCACCGAAATTTGTTCGAAATAGCGCGTTTTGGGGGTCGGAAGAAGGCTTGAGCGTTGTAGCAGCTACTGCAGAGCAACCAAATGCGCGCAGAACAAAATTAACGTGGTTCTGACATTAATAAAAGTGCCCAGCTGAGACAGCAGAAACTATGGCGCTGTATCACCAGCCCTAGGTTTTCCGCTTCGATGGCACAGTGGATGGATGAGAACTGGGTCATTGTGATGGATGAATCACGACCATAGGATAGTGTTCGCTTATATTGAGTGCTGGATTGTCAGTATCGCCGTCAAAGTTGGTAGGGCTTCTGGATTTCATGCGGATGTAGATTAGGCAAGCCTTCTGCGTCGTAGCTGTTGGTTTCAACGTCAGGTTCGGCTGCTCAAACTGTCCAAGGCAACGGAGGTGTGTATCTGAACAATTCTTCATCTGCATCTTACAAAGTCTTAAAAAATAAGTTTTACATTCCACTGAGGTTATGTCAGACATATCTACTGCTATGACATCTTACAGTAACAACCTGTTACTTTCATATCACAGCAAGAGCTAGTTAAAAATTGAAGTGCCTGTTCAAAAGAATGTATTGGAAGGAAGAACGAACATGCATACCCAAGAAACTTCATCGTCCCTTAAAGCAAAATTCGATACTCCAAACAATTTGAGCTGTGCAAGGCAGTCGTCGATATCGAAGTTCCAGATTACACAGAGAAAAGGTGCATCGAAACTGGAAATCGCCTGGATGGATAGTCTGAACCTTCTAACTCCTCGGCAGATAGAGAGATGGCAACTGAATTTTGCAGCACAGTGGGCTCGTAGCAATGCGGCATTTCTTCCATATGTGTGCCCCAACTCCTGAAAACTCGTCACCTAGCTACTTGCTCATGAGTCTTGTATTGAAGAAGAAAACCTTGTAGGGAATCTCTATCATACTACTTAATCCCCATGTTACCTGTGACTACAACTGCTGAGAAAAGTTGACACAAAATATGCAGTGAGCTTTCACTCACAAAACAGGCACGTGAGCTCATCTACAATTATCATCTGCCAGTCCCCAATCACTAGACCAAACGCCCAAATCACTTCGCCTTCACAACTCTTCAGGTGAGAAGGATAGAACACGTGGTGGTGTACCATGTCACGCAGCACCAAAAGCCGGTCATTACGTTCAAGATTAGCACAGCGTACATAAGCAGGTGTGTCCATCTCTACCCATTTGCCTTCTTGTGAATCGAGAGCTTGAACCTTTTCTGAAGACAGAGGGTGGACCTTGCAGTGACTAAAATCCCTTTCAGGGTTGAACTGGTCACCACTGTGTACATCTCGTACATCCTTCCAGCAATTCAACTTAGAGTCGTCCTCCTTTCTCAAATGGTCGAGAACGCCCATCCAGAGCCTGCGAACAACTAAATCTTCACAGATCGCATAAAACTTGCAGCTCATGAAGCCAGGCTCCGTATCAGCAACCATAATTACGATGGGAACATGAAACATTGCCTCGGTATGAACTTGCATGCTTTTGTAATTAGGTTACAGACATAAAAACTCAGGTTACTTCCTTGCTGCTGTTTGAATAATAGCAAAAGTTTATTATCCCCCAGTTTTAGCAAGAGGCAAACTACCTTCAGGTACGCAACACCCAAAATGAGTACTCAAGCATGACTGTTCTGTTGATAACAGGGCCAAAATTCTGTCCCTTATATCTGATTTCATGCGTCAAATTAAGAGGTTGGTCTCCAAAGGACTTAACACAGGTCTCGCGTGCAGCATTGTTGAAATGCATGTGAAAAACAGCCTTGTGAAATTCATGAAGGAGAAGGATCTTCTGCATGCAAATCGGAAATATGTACAACTTGCCAAATGAAGATTCGTCATAACTTTGTCCACCACTTCTTTAGAAAGAGATCGCCAGAGGATTTCACCAACGCCTGAGCTGCTCTCTTAATTTCCAAAAATTCATATTCTTCTTCAAAACTACTTGGCAACCCCCGTTTCCCTCAAGGTTTCCTATAACTCCGATTTGCCATTAAGAGCTCAAAGATATCAAACTATCTTGAAAATGAAATCTATTCGTCTCGTTGACGATCGTAAGATCGCAGTTTCTTCACACTAAACCCTCGGCAGCCCTTAAATTTCGAATCTTCCTTCAATGAACAAAGTCTTCAACTGGCATCTGAAAACAAGTATAATTCAATCTATAAAAAGAAGTAGCGGCACATTGACTCTCCATTAGGAGCTGGATGACCGATTCTGATATTGGAATACGACTCAAGAATCTGACTGGTCACAGCACTTTAATTTTCGTCAAAGGCTGCCGCTCTAACACTTGATCCAACCTGTGTACCGCTCGCCAATAACCGGATCTGGGTTTCCTCGATCCATTACTCTGCCCACTGCTGTTTATTCCTAAGGTTGATACTGTTTAGAGAAGGAAAAGAGCTTCTACAACGAAGAATGTCATGAAGCCAATTCAAATGCATACATGACAATCAGGGCCTTTCTGCAGAACATGACGCACAACTACATAAACTCCCATCTAAGTGCTACCATCCTTCAGCAAACAAATATTTCCCCAATTGATGAATACTACACAATTAAAGCGGTCGACGCGATTGACCAAGTTTGACAACCCTGGCTCTGTGTCGAACTGTGATTAACCCTATGGCTTTCAATATTGTCACAGCATGTGAAATGTCCTCCACAATTCAAAGCACCTCATTAATCGTGCACTTCGTTTAATACAACGAAGGCATCAGATTACATAAAAAGTGCAGAAGTAACTCCGTAGGGGCGGAACAGTGCACCTACAACATGAAACATGATTTCATCGAAAAGGACATTATAATCTGTGGAAAAGTGTAAATGACAGCCATCCACTCGTTAAGAACGTAAACTGCTCGATAATCCCTCAGCTCGGTCCCGTACACCGTGCTCAGAAACTAGAGGAATAGCTCAGCTAGATCATGTACTGAGTAGAGGATACAACTTAATTTCAGGTCAGTCCCAAAATAACGTGAAATCGGTGCAAAGAAACAAATGTAACATGCTTTGGAACATGTATATCACATCTAACAACCGACCAAGATCAACATACATTCACTTCGAAGACATCTAAGTGGATAATATCCCCAATGTCCAACTAAATTTACCGCAGATGCTACTGTACACTGCTTACTACACACCAGAAAACCACTGTATCCCGACCAAATTCGTCCACCAGCCCACATATCCACGTCCACAACCTCCACAAACGATGCCACAATGTCTCCAAATTCAACACAAACTTGCTGGTCTCTCTATATTTACATTGATACCTCACAACTCCCCCCCCCCCCCCCCCCCCCTCACAACAATCGCATTCGTCAAGCCTTGATTTCGCCAGGAAAACTTCGACATCATGCGACAATTTCACACCCAAACAAGCACAAAGAGAGGGAAAATTCAGCGTAAGAAAACGGCTGGAGCGACGCAAAAAAACGAAGAGGAGAAAGGCGGAGAAGCGATTCAATTGCGAGCAACCCCATCCCCTCGAATCGCTAGAGGAATAGCTCCACTGCAGTAGAGTTGATTGACGGGCAATCGTCACTCCAAACCCCCTTCCTTGCGAGGGCTTCTTAACATCCGCCTCATATCCACTTGCAAAGAGACAAAACAACCTCTCAGCTCAGGTTCTCAATCTGGCTCCACGGCTCTTAACATAATCCTCGGGCTGTGATTCCCCCACAATCGTTCACACACCGTGGTCCTATTGCCGTGGTTCCCTGCGAGGAAAGCACCTTGCAAAGATTTGTTTTAGCGATGGGGGGAATGTGGCGCTTGCGAGTTTGAGTTGTGGATACGAAGTGATCAATCGATTTCGGTTTTTTTTTAATTGAATGCGGCTCATACCTTTGGAGCACAAGAGTAGGAATCGAAAGGATTTGGTTGCACTGATGTCGATCGATCACCGCAGTGATGTTTGATATAAGAGTTTATGTTTGATGTAAGGGTTTTTGTTCAGGTGAGTAGCACGAGGAAACTGATATGTTAAGCGCAGGGTTGAGGGCTGCGAGAAACTGACGCGTGAGAAATGTCGGGACTGTTTCATTTTAAGTACTGTTGTCATTGTCTCTGAAGGCGTATTGAATCAAGCAGCGCCTTAGCATTTCCGTTGCAGGTCAGTCTCTTAGGATTTCCCGTTCGAGGGGATTGTCGACGTGGAGACCTGACAATCACTGCGCATTCCTGATCTAGGGCACGAAAGACGTCGTGTGATCGACAGCTCTTTTTAAGAAAAGGCTAGTAAGTAACAGAAATTGTTTTAGGGTCATACCAAATTTAAAGAACTTGTTCCTTACTGCGTTCGTTATGTATTAAATGGATATTGAACGTCAGAAATTTTGATGAAAAACTTCCAGCTGTAATGAGGTTGCTTCTTTGTTATGTCTTGATATCAACACAGTGTTCATTGTCGATGTTGTGAGATTGACCTCAAAATTCTTACTTAATACTTGTTTTTAAATTACAATGCATTTCTGTGAAACATGAAACGTGTGTTACTTGTGTTAAGTGATTCTTTATCACAAGAATATTTTTACTGAAAAATCTTTTGTGATTCCGTTCCTGTGACTTTGTTGTAGTTTATTATTACTTGTGAGATACATGAACAAGATTGTAAAGGAATCTTCGTGTCGATAGAACAACCATAGAATATTGGAATATGGTGCTTGCATGTCCTTCTAGGCTCTCCGTGCTCACAGCATTTCCTTTTTGCAATGTAGGTTATCACTTGCGTGATAAATGCTCCTATAATACGTGTTCAGAATTTAGTTGTGCTTCTGATTTACCTCATTGAGGCTAAGGTCAGTGAGGCATGCCGTGCCCTTGGAAAATTTGAAAGACCGCCTTGTTCTGTTGGAATCTTACCTTGAATGGATAGGGTCAAGTTTATCTTCTGAACTTCTGCAGCAGAAAGTGTTTCTTTTGAATCAAGATCACATGTAGTGTTTTAAAAACTATTATGTACTGCAACACTCGAAATAGCAGTACGTGCCCTGGTGTTAAGCAATGGTCGTCCCAAATGGAAGGCAGGAGCTTTTTTAATTGCAACTTGTTGAGTGGAGTACGATTGAAGGGAAATCAATTTTTAAACTAAAATTGAACAGGGTCCACTGAGATAAAGAGATTTGTGTTGAAAGATCACGTTTTATTTAATTTTTCTAGTGTTTGGTCCTAGCAGATAATTACAATTCTACGTGAAGTAATCTCAGCATTTTCATTTTAAAATTAGTTACAGCTTTGTTCTAAAGGACTCAGGGTGGGTGAAGAATGTGCTCACTTAGCACGGAGAGCCGTGAAAAATTGGGTAGTGTTGTGTTTGATCTCACAGGGAACCAGCTCAAGTACATACTAAGCACAGCACCTACATGGGATACGTGTGAACTTAGCTCTCTCTTCGTCCCTCTGATTCACAGAGGGCTCTATACGGATCATGTGCTCTATCTTCTCTTTCAATGTTACCATTGACATTTCTAATCTGGTGTGATGTCCCTCAGACTAAGCAATGTGGTTCGTACTTGCAGCTAGGTTTGGATGTAAGACTAGGTTTGAATTGTGAAGCTTTTGCATAACCAATTTGCAACGGTAGTTGTTTTAGATGCCTTCGCCTCGAGACATTTTTAAACACGAGCAGCATTTTAAAGAGTGGTTCAATAAGGACCACAGTTAAGTTTCTTCCTGCCCCCTCCCAGTGATTTGAGTTAGGCACTGCTTGACTCAAAGAGCCCCGGGGCTCTACTTCAGGTTCAAGAGAGATGTTTTACTCGGAACGTTTGTCTCATCCCTTCCATCTTTTCAGATATATCTTGCATCACGTTCAGTCATCTCTTTATGAGTTTCTACCCTCCTGACCTCAAGGTTTATGAGCTTGAATATGGTGACAACGTCGGTTAGGAAGTTCCCAGGTTTCAAGGGTCGACGCTGCGACACTCAAACTTCATCGTGTTCCAGTCAGTCAGTTGTATTCAATTGAACATGTCATATGAACAGGGCTGGATGGGTAACACATTTAGATAATTCGGTGCTCTTGGTCTAGTTCGTGATCCCGTCAGAAGTCTTCACTCTAGGTAAGAAATATTTTATTCAGGATTATTTATTAGAGAATGAATCCAACACGATTGTTTGGTGAATTTGTTCAAATATTTATTCTCGTATTCAATCAACCAACAAAATTTAATGCCCTTTGCAGGAGAGGCTCCATTGTAATGTATTCCTGTCATTTTACCCTGAACAATTGGAGTCACTGTGAGAAACATTCGACTTTATTAATTGTTCCATTACTTGCCAGTATTAACAGTGAATTTGACTAATTGGTCTTCCTAAATACTTTTGAAGGTTATCTGCTTCCTCTGAGAGGTCACTGCGAAGGCAAAATCTTACGCCAAACTCCATTTGAATGACCTAGATAATATCCTCAACTTACAGCAATTTTAACTTGTTCAGGTTAAATCTTTGCAGGATCATGGGAATTTTCAGCAATGGTAGTTCTTCGTGACCATCGGGATGGAAACGTCAAATTGCTTTGAAAGAAACGATGCAGGATTCCTCAATGCAAACTACAGTAAGGTAAGAGACCCAGATTCCATTTCCACCAACTGGATCTCCAAAACCTCATTACAAAAGACTTGGCCAAGTTCTTTGTGCACAATTACGCACCAAATGCAATCGGTCTAATCCCCTGCACCACCACCGCCACTACCGCCAAAACAAATCTGGAGGGGTCCAAGTACAGTGTAGGAGCATCTTTAAGTACTGTGCAGAACAAGTCCTGAGTTATACTGGGGCAGTTCACAGGAGCTTTTGGACTTTGGAAGACGCTGAAGTTTTTGTAGGTCGTCGAGGTTAGGCCTTCCTACCTTCTGAGTTGTGTCCCTCTCTAAAACTCAGATGGGTGCTGTTAGGTCTTTCTTCTGTAGATTCTAGTTTTCTGTAGGCAGTTTTGCAAGACCAGCTTGGACTCTGTTTCTAATAAATTGATGTGGTGGAAGGGATTTAGTAAACAGATCGGCTTGTTGAAAGCATGTCGGGATGTAGCTCACCTCCACACTTCTTCAGATTTTTCCCGAATGTAGTGATGGTCGAGCTCGATGTGCTTCGTCCTTTGATGCATGACTGGGTAACTAGTTTGATACTGCTCAAGTTATCATAGAGTAGTGGTGTCGGTCTTGGAGTCTGCACTTGGAGTTCCTGTAACAGACGACAAAAATATGTGATTTTTCTTTCTGCCTCCGACAGAATCCAATATTCTGCTTCGGTTGACGACAGTCCTAATGTGGACTGAATTTTGCTTGTCCAGGCTATGGGTGAAGACCTAGTTTGTATAGAATCCCTGAAGTTGATTTCCTTTTCTATTTCCCCCGCCCAGTCTGCATCTGTGAATACTAGGAGGTTGTTATCATCTGCTGTTGGGTAAAGTATTCCATAGTTCATAGTCCCTTTCAGATATCTCAGATTTTTTTTGTGGCTGCGATTAGGTGATCCTGTTGTGGATTACCCATGTATCTCGAGACACAGCTGATGGCGTATTTTATATCCCAGCGACTTATGGTTGCATAGAGCAGTCCCCCAATTAAGCTCCTGTACATATGTGGATCAACTGCTGGAGTGCCAGTCTCCTTTCGAAGCTTGCCTTTCGGGTTCATAGGAACTGGTAGGGTGTTGCAGGGCGTCATCCCGAATTTGTCCAACAGTTTTTGTATATATTTCCTTTGGTGAAAGTAAACCCACAGTTGTCGTAAATCAGGTGACTCGAATATTTTATGTGTCATCTCCCGTTATGATCATCTACGTAGAGTACTACCACATGTACTGTCACTTTTGATAGAGAAATATAGATTTGGGTCTTCTTTGCTTTTAGTTAGTCCCTGTGATTGAAGGTACCCATCAATCTTGCTGTACCAGGCTTTGGGGGCCTGCCGCAACCCATATAATGCTTTTTCAAGTTTACATACCCTTGCTCTTTTCATTCTAGAATCCTGGAGGTACTGTCATGTAGACTTCTTCATTGATTTTTCTGTTTAGAAAAGCAGTTTTGACATCTAGGTGCTGCAGTTTCCACTGTTTTCTTGCAGCTAATGCGATTATGCTTCTTATGGTTGACTATCTAACGACAAGTGCGAATGTTTCTACAAAATTGATCCCTTCTTCTTGTTCGAATCTGCGAGCTACAAGCCTTGCCTTTAGTTCCTCGACCTGTCCACTTGATCCCACTTTTGACTTAAAAATCGGTGTCTTTCCGACATGTCAACTAAGTGCCAGGTCTAATTTCGAGTTATTGAGTCCATCTCTTGGTCTATCGCTATTTCCCATCCTTTGTGTTGAATTGCCTGATCAAAGGTTTCGGGTTCAAATTCTGCGGTTTCTACTGTCAGTAGGTAATTGTCTCTGAACCTGCTGTTTGGCCTCCTTTCTTGTGTTGGGTATCTTCGTTCCCTCTGTTGGTTTGATGTATGTTCCGGAGTCAGCATGCAAGTGTTGAGGACGTTTTTGATGTGAGAGGCTGTCACCATCATCGTCATTGTAACCTGTGAATTGATCAGTGGAGCTAGAGAGTGGAGGTGCATTGTCCGATGAGCATTGAGTGGCAGGAAGTTCTATTTGCTCATCATTTTTGGTTTCTCTAGGTTCCTAATTTGGGAATAGGGCCAGTTCTTCTAATTTTCCGTCTTGAGGATTGATCTTGACATAGCCTATTTGGCTTTCGTCGATGACTACATCACGGCTAATGTACAGTTTGCGTTTTACAGGATCAAAAACTCTATATGCTTTTGAATGCTCATCGTAGCCTACGAAGAGACACCGCAGTGTTTTGCTATCCAGTTTTGATCTGCTTTCTCGTGGTATGTGTAGGTATGCTATGACTCCAAAGATTTTTAGGTTGTCTACCCCGGGCTTTGTTTTAGTGAATCTTTGTTCAGGTGTAATGCCATGGTTAGCTCTTGTAGGACTAATGTTTACAAGATGGTTGGCTGTATTTATAACTTCCGTCTAGAGAAACCTAGGCAGTTTACAAGCAGCCGACATTGATCTAGCTCTCTCAACCAAGGTTCTATTTTATCTTTCACTCGCTCCATTTTGCTGAGGTGTCCTAGCTATTGTTATTTGCCTTGCTATTCCATGGTTTGTCAAGAAGTTGCTGAATTCATGAGATAGGTATTCCCCTCTCCTGTCTGCGTAACATTAGTATTTTCTTGCCTGTTCCGGATTCTACCCTTGATTTAAATTCTCTAAATTTCCCGAATGTTTCACTTTCATTCTTCATGAAGTAAACAAAGCTTTTCCTGGAGAAGTCGTCTGTAAAGACAACAATGTATCTTGATCCAACTAATGAGGGAGTTCGAATAGGTCCAACAAGGTTAGAGTGAATGAGTTGTAATACATGTGTGCTCATGTGTGGTGATGTTTTTGGGAAGCGCCCTCTGTGTTGACGTCCAGCTAGGTAGTCTCCACAGATCTTCTTCGTATATCCAAGTATGGGTAGGCCAATGACTCTTGCTGCTCTCGAAAGGTGCTGAAGTCTTGCGTAATGAAGATGTCCATATCTGTTGTGTCAGAGATGTATGTCACCGTTGAATGATCTGTCAGCTTCTAGTGATTTGTTTGTAAACCTGTAGAGACCATTTGATAAATCCCGTTTTCCTATGGCTAATATTGTCTGTTCTTTGTGATTGTTCAGAATGATGCATTGTGAGTCGGTGAAGACTATGATATGTCCTTGTTCGGTTAGTGAACCTACTAATAAGAGGCTACATTTCAAGGTCGGCACATATAAAATGTTTCCCAATTTTATTTCACCTCAGGCTGTTTTCACAGTGGAAGAACCCACGGCTTCAACTTGGTGAGCACCACCGTCGGTTGTTTTTAAAGTGTGACCAGATGGGTTGCCTTCTATCCATTGCAATTTTCCTCTCTCTCCTGTGACATGATTACTAGCTCCAGAGTCCATGTACCAATGTTGTTTTTGGTATTCAGTGAGGTTTGCATCTGAAGACCACTCTACTGCTCCTGCATAATTTCCTTCGTTGTAGTTTGGATCTGAATAATACTTTCTGTGCAAGCAGTTTTTTGCAATGTGGCATGGCTTTCCACATGTATAGCATATTATAGTTCTGGAGTTTCTAACCAGTCTTGTTTCGTTACGGTACGTTGGCAGAGGGTTGCCTTGATAATGTCCAAGTGTGTTTGCTCAGTTGTGAATTTCCGTTGTATTGTGTTTGTTGAGGCAGGGATCCACAATGATGGTTGCCGTTGCTGAATGGTGCAGTTCCTCCTCGGCCGTAGCTGCGTCCTCTTCGTCCTCCTCCTTGGAAGTAGCCTCCTTGTCTTGGATAGAATGATCTCTGAAACTGTATTGATAGTGCCTTGTCCTGTTCGAGCTTTTGCTCTCGTACTGTCATTCGGTGTGTCTCTGTTAATATTTTATCCATGATTTCTTCGAAGGATGGGTTTGTCATGTACATAACCCCTTAGATTACCATCTCATAGCTCCTCGGCAGTCCATTGAGAACAATGTTGTTTAGTGTCTTGTCCTCAACTTTTTCCCCGAACGCCCTTAGTTGGTTTCTGATGTCCATCGCTTCAGACAGATAAGTATTGACTTCCTCTCCTTCCTCCATCGTCATGTTGTGTAGTTTGCTCATGAGTAGCATGATTTGCTGCTGATTGCCTGCTCCGAACATGTTCTTCAACATTGCCCATGAGTCTGCAGGGTCATCGTAAGAGGAGACGGATCCGATTAGACTGTCGGCTACTGACATAATAATCCCGGTCTGAGCCCTCTGTTTTGCCTCTATCATTTTTATTTCTGTGACATACGACGTATTAGTCATGACTGCAGGCTAGGCGCAGGGTGTTCGCTTTACTTCCACTAGTGGCCACAGGTTCTCTCTCTTCAGAACCGCCGCCATTTTTACTCTCCACACATTGTAGTTTTGGATCCCTAATAATCTATTGCTGTCTCGTCCTTCGCAGTTTGACGATCTGCTGCTCTCCGTCATGTCTTTCTATTTTCAGATCTCATTGCTATTCTAGGACTGACTCTTGTTCTATCTCTCTAGTACATAGGTTAGAGAGCAATGCTCACCCAAGTCTCCTATTCTAAATCTCGCTCTAATACTATGTTACAGCACACTTTATGGAAAGCAAATCCAATAGGAGCAGGGCTAACCTTGCTTTTCATTGAGTAAGAAGGTCCATCAAATACATTTCCGCAAAACCCTAAAATTAGGGTGCGCTGAACCTCGGTTGGCGTGGATGACAAATGATGTTCATTAGGCCAGGAGGTTCATCGAGAGCAACAGGGGTGAGTTTCGCCAACACATTGGTATCCCAACTTAGAATGGTCGATTATAATGGTCAAGTCGAACGCAGGTTCAGAATTCAGACGAGAAGGTTGAGTGCACTTGCACAGATGTGCTGTAGAGGGCCAAAACCAGACAGACCCTACCAAAAGGCTAGTGTATTTGGAAGAACAGCTACGACGTCCACGGTCAGAAATCAACCTTCTCCATCATCGGGCCTCGATGGTGGGCAACCAGTTTCACTAGTTACACGGTGCTTTTCCATGAATGAAGGTAAAGTCTATTAAACCCAGTAGTGGCAGATTCAACGCTGGTGTCGAGCTTGCGATCCTGCTGTTCAGTGACTGCAGCAGGATTGCACAGCACACGAAGATGTGGGTTCAAACTTCCGAGCAGCCAAGACAACTCTACACCCACCCAAGTTTTGGGATCGTCATCGAATTATGAAATACGAGAGCGTATACAAAGCTCCCAAAAAACACAATACAAGTTCCAAGGTCATAGTGGACATTGACCAAAGCTTGACAAATCCAAACCATGGTGTGCAAGTCCCGAGGTCGGTGACAGTACCCAACTGACAGCTGCGGTCCACATGCCCATGCTTGCGAGAGAGGACGTAGCAATGGCTTGCTTGTCTTTTTGCAGTCAAAATGCTAAAGTGTTAATTCTTCTTCTTCTTCTTTTCCCCCCCATGGCTACAGTTTCAGGGGTTGAAATTGTGCAGTTTCATTGTTCAATTATGGGTGTGAATCAGACTTAGTGCTCAGGTATTCTCAAAAGTACCGCCAGCCTTTTTTTTTTTAATGAAGAATGGGTATCCTCTGATGCACGGAGGAAGAAGGAATCTTTGAAACTGTTCAACTTTCTGTTCTTTTCTGAAACAAAAACATGTGTTCATCCCACATGATTTCTTTTTCCTTTTCTATTACTTATGAGTACCATCATTCCAATTTTCTTTCTGTGTATGTTCTTAACTAATAATCTAGATTTCATTTGTAAGATAGATCATCTATTTGTTTAAAAAAAAAAAAAAAAAAAAAAAAAGAGAGAGAGAGAGAGAGAGAGAGAGACTTATCTGATATGTTTTATCTATTCATGCAATTTGTGTTGATGTTAATTTAAAACTGATAATCATTATTTGTGGATTTCATTGGTGTCAAAAAAAAAAGGAAAAAAATGAATAAGTGAATAATACAAAAATCATCAAAAAAAAACAATTTCTCATTAAAGCAATTGCTTAGAAGGGATCATAGAGGGAAAATTTTAATGTAATCATTTAATGTTTAGCTATGATCACAAGCATTTGAAAAGGAGAGTGGACTGAAGTAAAGAAAAAAGAAAAAAGTAAATATATGGCAAGGTCTTCCTTGATTGGATTCAAGCTACAATGTCACCTTCTTAACCACAATCAAAGAGGGATTCAAGTAAAGAAACCTTAAAATATCCAAGAAAGTTGTAGCAAACATGCCAATCTCATTGACATCACCCATTGACATGTGCCAATCTGAACAACACGTTGAAACATCTTCACAACACCTACATGCTACCTCTTTCCACATCATTCACTCCACCAAATATTCAACAAATTTAAAACAAATTTCTAAAATTAGAACCAAAACTGGAACAAAAAAAAATGGTCTCTTCCATTACCAACAACAAGATAAGAACACACTAAACAACCAAACGAATTAAAAAACACACACACACACACACACACATACAATCAATATATATATATATATATATATATATATTTTTGTATGAATCTAAGAAAGAAGCTCAACAAACAACATTCTCACGTCTGAAGAATCCCTTGAAGTGCATTCTCCAAACCGTTCACCTCGCTAAACGCAGTCCCCACCCCCAATGAACAAAGTCATTTTTTGAAAAAAGTGGCCGAAAAGTAAAAGGACGGAAGGAAGAGGAGGTGAGCGCCAGTCAGAGTAGTGCGCCGTCGCGGCGTCGGGAGCCAGCGCCACGAAGTGGCAGCGAAAGCAAGCGCGTCCAAGTTTTCAAGGAAGGGTCGCGCCGCGAGAGCGTGGCGCTGGTGCTGTCGTCGAGGGGACTCATCCGCCGAGCAGCCCCACACACGTCTCTCGCTCGTTTCTCGCTGGTCTCTCGCTCGTCTGCATGCTGCCGCATGGCTCGCGTCTATCTCGGCGTAGGACTCTCTCGCCCTCGCCCTAGCCCCCCACGATCCGCTCGCTAGCTTGCTGAGAGCGGATCCGCCTGTTCGTAACTGGGAGTCGTTTGGCGTGGCGACTTTGTGTTCCCGAGCCCACGGGGGGTAGAGTTTCACCATGTGCCCCATCGCCTGTGCTTTATTATCGCCCCATCAATGATTTCGAGGATGGAGTAGGTAATAGTGTAATACGCCAAGGTGGAATTAACTGCAGCTGTGGTGGTGGTGGTGGTTGGGGGTGAGAGCGCCCTCCCTTCTTTGTTAGAGGGTTTTGTATCTCCGTGGATCGTCGCATCTGGCGTCACGATTGACTCCCCCCCAACCGCCTCCTGGATCGATAACCTGGGTTGGTTATCTTTTCGGGGGTGAAAGGAGGGTCGAGGTGGCGTGCGCGAATTGAGCTCATGACATTCGACTCGGCTGCGCTGTGGGGTGGTGGTATCTCGAGGCTGCTTTTCAAAGCGTGAAGCTGTGTTATTCGACGCTGTGATTGTCGACTACTTCGTCGCTAACCGAAGGTTTGTGGGGGCGGCCTTGGGAGCGTCTTGGCTCTCATGGTGCTTGCTTGAAGGGTCAGTTTGTGCCCAGCCTTGTGGACCTCCTGGCTGTGCCGCTCCAAGGGTCACATGAAGAATTGATGATTTTGGCTTTCGTTGTTGTGCATTTCGTGTAGAAAGGTTAGGCGACATGAATACGTAAGGCCGAGTGTTCAGTCGTTGCCTTTGAGGTAAGGCTGGAGAGGTGAATTGCTAGAATTTGGTCCGATTTGGTGGCAACACTTGAATGAAGTTCAACTGTTGAGGCTTTCTCTGAGTTGCATCATGTAAGTCTTGGTTTTGGATGGAGTGCTTGCTTCTTGCGTCCCGGCAGCATTGAGTAATTCTGTAATATACGCATTGTGCGTAGTGGACCCATTTCTTGCACAAGTCAGTGTTGTCCTTGTTTTTTAAACATGAAGGTGCAACAAGTCACATTCTCAGAGAAACTCGAAACGCAAGATACAACCTAGTTTGTTTGCACTGTTCCCCTGAAGTAAATCTAAGTGACAAATCTGTTGCCGGATATTGAAGTTCCTGATCGAATCGCAAGAGAGCCTTGAGTTCTGTTCATGAAGGCACTCCTGCTTTGGAGCCGGACCCAGCTCTTTACTTGTGTTGCTGGTTTTCTTGAGAAAACTGGCAGTTTTTAATTTTTTAATTTTTTTTAACAGATCCTTCTTCTTCTCCGGTTTTGGTGGTGGAAGTGACCGAATAGTGCGTGCATGTAGCAGTTATCTCCCTGATCACATCTGCAACGTTTCATTTGGAATCGCAAATTTAAAAATCAGTTAGGATTAGAGCTAGTGGCACATCCATGGGGTGATTGTTCTCTCTCCAACGACTCGTACACAAGTAAGGCAAAGCCTTGCAACGAGTCACGAATTGAGTTATAGTATTTGGCAATTGATTAGAAAATCAGGTGTTGGAATCAACCCATTCTCACTTGTTGAGCATGACAACCAGTGGTTTCTGCACAATTTGGGGCGACATTTTAAGATTTCGCTTAGGTACTTGCTTTTCGGAGCTCAGGTCTCTCTCTCTCTCTTTCATCGATCGTTATCGTGGACCGTTATCGTGGATCGTTTCGGCAAGTTCATCGCTACAGGGATGCCATGATGGTGGTAGCCAGTTCAGTCAGCATCGGTTACCCAATTGAAGAATCTCGGTTAGTGTACCAATGCTCCCTACATCTATTCGTCTCCAGCAAACCTAGAATCATGCATCATCCAATAGTACCTTGCATGTAGCTAAATCGTGGGCATCAACTAAAGCTACTGGACTTTAGCCAGAGCTTCGAAGAGGTTAGCGGTACAGTAAGGAAGAGATGGCTCAAGGTCCTCATCATCTTTGCCCTTGTGTGTGCCTCCCTCAGTACTTTGGATCATGTGTCTGACCTGAATTGACGTGCAAACTAGTGACCAAGCCTGTCCCTCCGTGTCATCGCGCGGTCATTAAGCAGTTCTACATTCGCCGTAGACACTGCATCGTCCTCTGCCGCTGAGCTGGGCTGTCCTGTTTGCCATCTCTTGTGTTTGGTCGGTATCTAGTGTCTGTTTTGCTGCGGTACTCCATTTCTCCACCCGTGCGAAGGGAACCAAAGATGGTCAATTGTGAGCTGGAGCATGGCGGTTACTTACAGCGGACTGAAATTAGTGGGGTGGTGTGTCCTTCTTCCGACAAACGGCCATACTTCAGGATGCCTACCTACATTGTACTCTTTATGCCAATTGCGGAAGTTTCGCTGCTGCTCTGCTCATGTTATCACCTGGTCTTGCTACAAACCACGATCACAAACCACCTCCCGTTGATCTGTGTCCCGTGTCTGATTCATTTCTGCTTAGTTGCTGCACAGGGGCTCAGTTCCAGACATGGAGTCTACAAGTGAGTTGGATTGCCGGCACAGACGAAAGTCAGGGAAGGGACTTGTGTCGATTGTAGGATGGACATTAGCGTTCATTCTCGCAGTGTTCGTGGGCCTCGCTGCTGTTGACAAGTACCGGTTGTGGACTTCGGAAAGTATAGTTGGCGATTCTTCCACAGGCTTGCGAGTTTCGGAGGTGCAGGCCAGATTGAATGTTTGGAATGGAGGCGGAAATCACCATCTTTTAAAGCAAGCAGAAATGCGCAGTTGGCGCAACCGGAAGCTCGTGGGTGTTAGCGACACTGAAAAGAACGGATTCAAGGTTAAGATGTTGCACCGGAACTCGATTGGCTCGCCGTTTCGAAAAGAGTACGATACGAAGATGCAAGCATTGATGGAGGATATGGCTATCGATGCAGCGAGGCTCGCTGCTTTGCGACAACAGCAGAGGCGCAGATCAGATTCAGTCACTGTAAGAACATCGGGTGATGCAACATGCGCGATGCCTCCATCTATGCCTCCAACTTTGACAGCGATTGTTGAAGGCCCGTCTTCACAGGACTACCAATTCCGGACCCCTCTCGTCTCGGGCACTACTCTTGGCTCTGGACAATACTTTGTTGATTTCTCCCTTGGCACACCAGAACAGAAATTCCATCTCATCGTGGACACTGGATCTGACCTCGCCTTCGTGCAATGCGCTCCTTGCGATCTATGCTATGAGCAAGATGGCCCGCTTTACCAACCATCCAACTCCTCGACCTTCACCCCTGTGCCTTGCGATTCCGCCGAATGCCTTCTCATACCGGCCCCCGTCGGAGCTCCTTGTAGTTCTAGCTATCCAGAAAGTCCACCACAAGGAGCGTGCTCCTACGAGTACCGCTACGGCGATAACTCCAGCACTGTAGGGGTGTTTGCTTACGAAACTGCGACAGTCGGTGGAATCAGAGTCAACCACGTAGCCTTCGGCTGCGGGAACAGAAATCAAGGAAGCTTTGTCTCCGCAGGCGGTGTTCTCGGACTCGGACAGGGAGCTCTTTCATTCACCTCACAGGCGGGATACGCGTTCGAGAATAAATTCGCGTATTGTCTCACGAGCTATCTCTCCCCGACGTCAGTTTTCTCGTCGCTCATCTTTGGCGACGACATGATGAGCACAATCCACGACCTCCAATTCACACCACTCGTCAGCAACCCGCTAAACCCCTCGGTATACTACGTCCAGATAGTGAGAATTTGCTTCGGAGGTGAAACGCTACTCATCCCAGACTCCGCTTGGAAAATCGATTCTGTAGGCAACGGGGGTACAATTTTTGATTCCGGTACTACGGTAACGTACTGGAGCCCGCAAGCGTACGCAAGGATCATCGCTGCTTTCGAGAAATCTGTGCCTTACCCGCGGGCACCTCCATCACCTCAAGGTCTGCCGCTTTGCGTTAACGTTTCGGGCATCGACCACCCGATCTACCCCTCCTTCACCATCGAATTCGACCAGGGCGCGACATACCGACCGAATCAGGGAAATTACTTCATAGAAGTATCTCCAAACATCGACTGCCTTGCTATGTTGGAGTCATCATCCGATGGCTTCAATGTCATCGGCAACATCATACAACAGAACTACCTGGTGCAGTACGACCGCGAGGAGCACCGCATTGGCTTCGCACATGCAAATTGCGACGCACCATCGTAGGCTTTCGAGCTTGGTGGGGGCCGTGGTGAAATGACAACCGCTGTAATCTTGCAAGTCCGCAAGCTGTTTCTCATCTTATTTTTTTCTGTTGCTGTCAATCTGAGCTTCCATTTTCTTCCCAAGCAACTTATTCCTGCCCGAAACATTCGTTGCATCCGTCGCAGAGGGTCAACTTCTACTTAGGCAACGAGTTCCAGTGATACCCCTTCGAAGCCAGGAAGCACGCCGCGTCTACAAAATCAGGCTTACGGCTCTGCTGATGAGTGGCTGGACAAGGGAAGCCGGTAATCATCGCCAGGGATTGATTAGTGCCGTCCCCGGTTAGGTGAATACCTTTGGTGGTTTTAGCGTCTGCCAACTGCTCCGATTAAAATTGTGGCCGAAGTTTCAGCAGACATCCAATTTGTGTAGTCCAAAAGGAATGAAGTCAATTTAAGATCCGTGGCGAATAACCCACTTGAGATCTACTCTGTTTTTACAAAAGAAATCGCCTTTGTTGTTGCACAATCTAGATATTAAACTTCAATGAATGTCTTGGTGTCTCGGGATCGTGCATCTTGCCTCACAATCCTGCCTTCTGATTGGGACCGCAGGTGAAACCTTTTAGTTTGGTGAAGCTCTGCGCTATCATAGTTCACTGTTGTCGACTCGTGTCTAACTCATCGTACATGTCAAATATCACTGTACATATCTCAAAGCAATGTTTTATTGCTTTGGAAGTCAGTGAGGTGTTATCAGTGCACTGTAGAATATTTATTAGTGCCTTGTAGGATTATACGATTGTTCTGGAATCAGACAACTCCCAAGTGTTTGGATGTCTTGTTAAAAAATATGTGGAACCCGCACTTATGTCTATCGAATGAGGTGATGCTGATGAGGAAGGATTTTTTTTACAATACTCTATTTCGAGTCGACTCTTCCTCCAGCATGCGTAAATCTTGTCCTCACATGATCGGTTTATAAAATCAAATGTCTATGTGCTCTGACTGTTTCAGGAGATATACATGACATTCAAAGCATCAAGTGAAAGATCCAACTACCGTAGCCAGAAAAGTTACTAGAAAAGTACGTTATATTTGCGAATGTGGGGTGACACGAGAGAGGATCTGATGTTAGATGGCGCAGCATGGTCGCCATCACTCATTGTTCACAAAATTCTCGCAGCGAGGGCTCTGAGCCAACCCTGAAATGACGTGCAACTCCATGGCCTGAAATGGCAACACCATTAAAACCAACGAGAAATCGTCAACACCATTAAAGCGTCAAAATGCTAGGTTCCAAAACGAGAAACTGCTGGCACGCTCGTTTCATCCTTCAATGATTCTTGAATGTTAGCAAGTTCAACATGCTTAGATCTGTACACGAGCCTATATCAGTGCAACAGCTGGGTTATGATGCCACTGCCAAGACAACTATTCTAGAATGAGTACACTGTAACACGGCCTTCGGTAAATGAGGTTCAAAGATGTACAGAAGTACCATCACAACTTCCCCATGAGGAAGGCAGTGGCTGCTGATCACACCCTGGATATTCAAAAAGGAACCGCTCAGCTCAATCTTCATCCTAATCCATAGGGCACTGCCCAGTATGCAATGTGCAAAATAATTGCTGAAATTTGCTAGTTCTTTGCACACCTGGTCCTGCCTTCCTTGAGGTGGAGTCGTCATAGTGACGTGCGAAAGTGGAAGCATCGTGTGTGAAACCCTAGCCCGAAAATCCATATCCAGGAAGCGTTCGACGAACTGCTGCCTAATTCGCCTATTCGGCACAGCAGAGTTGCAACATTAATTAGACTATACAAAAAAACTTTGGGTTGAGTGTGAGTTATGAAGGATGTTTGCATATCTTTAGATTCAAAAAAACTGGAACTTTTTTGAGGAAACATAACAATCGTTTCTTGTAATCAACCTTGTGTATCCATTCAACCCAAGTAAATAAATGTAAAAAATTAAAATAAAAAAATAAAAAAAATGTAGTATGTTTTTATTTTGGTAAAGTAGATATTTTTTAACTTAGGAGTCAATTCTTTGGAACTTCCCAATTTTAACTAATTAAAAGATTTAAAAGTTGTATTTTTTCACCTTGTCTTCTAAGTGTAAAGACCCCTCAATGATGAGAAATTTATTTGAGTTACAGCTACTATTTTTAATTATAAAATATTAATTTTTTGGTTTAAGCCTCACACCTCATGTTCTATTTTTTTTTTGTTTATGTTTTGGTGGCATACTTTGTTCCCAATCCCCCTATTCCATGTTTCCAATCCCTCCATCCCTGTTTCCAATGCTTGTCCCATGTTCCAGTTCCTTATCATTATAAATGGCAACAATAACCTTGAACAAAGTTTCTTTTTTATAAAAATATTTTGTAACAAACATTGTTGATGTTGCATTGTAATTTTCCAATTGTAATTAAAAAATAATGCATCTCATTTTAATTTAAACACGTAAATACCCAAGAGGGTGTCATCTTAATAACATGGGGTGTTGCTTTAGCATCTCTTTCTCTCTCTCTCTCTCTCTCTCTCTCTCTATATATATATATATATACATATATATACTAGTGGTTAAACCTACAGTCACTCATGATTATGTTGCCAATTAATATTGTCATTCTCTACTACCAATTCTTTAATATCAGTGCCCCTTATTATAATTAAAAAAAAACAAAAAATACAATATACCTCAGTAGCCACTAAATGCCCCTTACTGCAATTAAAAACAAAGAAACGAAAAACACAATATATCTGGGTAGCCAATCAGTTCCACTTACTGCAATTTAAAAAAAGAAGAAAAAGATCATTTTCCCTGTTGCTCCAGCCAATGGGCTTTTTGACGCTACATATAGACACAGGTTGCTTGATTTTTCTATATATATAGATATAAATTTTATTAAAAATTGGAATATAATTTTTTTGTGTATGACATGTATTATTTTATTATTCTAAAAATAACAATTTTATGTTTTTCAGTAATATATTACACAAATTCAAATAAAAAAATAAAATGTCATATTCACTAATATTGCCTGAATGAGTAATCAGTATGTCACAACATTCCAAAAAAAGCAACCATAATTTCACTTCTTTTCATTGTGTTTGTTTGTTTGTTTCTTTTTTGCATAAATCCAACATGTATTTCCTCCATGGAAAACAATCGTCAAACCGAGCGTTTAATAATAATGGCATTAATCATCCATTCAAGAATCCACACAGTTCCCTAATTCATCCATCCACACATCATCCACTCCATGTCAGCATGCACACGTGGCACACGGGAAGTCCGAGGGAGAAGAACTCGGCTACGGGCTCCGCTGCCTTCACCGACACGGCGCCCATGTGGTCAATTATCTCCTCACTCGCTTCCATTGAATTCCTCCCCCTTCTCATCTCACACGATGTCCTCTGGAGTTTCCATGTGATTCAGCGGGATTGAAACTGTGGCATGGCAGTTGTGTTCTTAGGGCGGGGCTGAATTGAAGTCCTTGGTCTAACTCCGCTTTTTTCCCGCTTGATTCCCGTGTTAGAGTTTGTTGGGTTATGGGATTTGAATCAAATTTGACAGATTCCTTGGCTCGCGTGGTTGTTTTCGTTGAGGGTGAGGGGAATTTGGAGTTGGGTTTGGATTTTTTGGGGAGTTTTTGAAGATTACGTGGTGGTGCGAGGTAGACTTTTGAGGTATGTGTTTGTGGGTGGTGGGGATTTGGAGGAAATTGGTGGTGTTGATTGAAGGGGAGGTGTAGGAGGAGTATGTTTTGCAAGGAAGCAGGAATAAGGGGAGTGTTCTCTACGTTGTTGTGGTGTAGAAGTGTTGGGAGATTGGAATCGAATTTGAGGAGCTGGTGGTAGAGTCATGAGTTTCGAGGATTTCGAGACCGGTCGCAACGCCGGGTCGCGCAGGCAAGATCATAGTGATACGGTGGCAGCAGGGATTTTTCGAATTAACACGAATGTGGCAACTTACAAACGTCTTGTGAATACCCTTGGGACCCCAAGAGACGATCATGGACTTCGGGAAAAAATACATGCGACTGAACAGAAGATAAGTAAGCTTGTTGAGGAAACAGTGGCAAAGTTGAAGGAGGAAAACGAGACGGATCATCTTTTCTCTGCAAGCACCAGTAAGAAGATTAGAGATGCTAAGCTGGCCAAAGATTTCCAAGCCGTGTTGTTGGAGTTTCAAGGTGCTCAGAAAGCTGCTCAGTCTCGCCAGAGAAAGTATGGGCCTGTTCTTCCTCCCGCCTCTTCCTCTGTGGAATTGGATTCTATTCGAGGAAAAAGTGATGATAACGTCCCCTTGTTACGGCAGTCCCAGCAATTAAATATCCAAGCAAATGAATCAGAGGTTATATTCAATACTGTTGTTATCGAAGAGAGGGAGCAGGGTATCCAAGAGATTCAACAACAAATAGGAGAAGTTAGCGAAATTTTTAAGGACTTGGCGCAGATTGTTTCAAACCAAGGACATCTTATTGATGATATCGAAGCTAACATAGAGAGTGCAGCGTCATCAACTGTTCAAGCCAACATTCATCTTACCCGCGCTGCCAAGAGCCACAAGTCATCAGAGTACTGGAAGTGCGTGATTTTGGCAATCATTGGGACGGTTCTATTCGCCTTTCTGATCATCTTGTTCGCTTGATTTATTACCTTCCATGTCCCGTCATGGTTTCACTCAACAGAAGAAGGTGTATTCCTTATTCATTTGGGCTCTTCTTCATGCTCTCCAGCCCAGTTCGACTCCACTCAAGTTGCCCGAGTTCTGGAAGTTGGCCTGTTTCAATCTCATTCGGAAAAGATTCTTCTGAGCCCTATTTAAGGTGATTCTTCACTTTATCTTTAGTGTAAACAATTCTACAGCCGGAAAATTTCTTAGGGAGTCCTCATAAGCTTTTAATTTTCATTTTTTTTGCATTGGGTCGAACGTAGCTTCGCTTGTTAAAATCGAAACTGCCAAATGACGAGATCGTATTTGGAGCTCAGCGAGTCCATAGTTCCTGGGTTGGCTCTGGGGTTGCGACCTCAATTTTGCATTGAGCTATAACTTAGAGCTCACCTTAGTCCTCAGAATATGCGTTTTTGTTAATAATGTATGTAACATGTTACCCATTCTTTAAACATAAAATGTGCTAGTTATCTGCTCAGTTACTGGAAATAAAATCGAGTGAGAAACTCGATGATTGAAGGTTTCTTATTCTCAACTGAGCGTGTATGACCCTGTTTTTGGAACCCCTTGTTTGTTTTGTTTTATTTTTATTATTATTTCTATTTTTATCGCATACGACGAAAATGCGGTTGTACGAAATCTTCGTTCGTGAGGGTTGCGTTTCTCAGGATATAACGTCTAAAACGAGGAAGTACTCCTGGGGCGTTGTCGGTGCCCTGGAGGTTAGCGTCGAAGTATCAAGATCAGGTTCGGTGGAGCACCTGGTTCCGTTCCGTCCGCGAGCGATTCTAGGGTCTCCATAAAATGAGCTTGTCCTCCCTGCAGAGCTGCGATGGTATCCGCAAGCTTATATAACGCCAAGGAGAGCAGAAAACTAGTTGGATGTGGATTATGTTAAGAGGTGATCTTGTATGGTCCACGGTAGAACCAATTTGTGATGGCGGAGTTGTACCAAAACTTGCCTTTTATTTACAGCGTAAGTTCCGTGATAGATTCCAACGATGTTCATTCCCAGCCGTGGATTGTATTGCCCTCTCATATCTGTTATTATCATGATAAAAAAAAATTATAAATTATAAAAATTAAAAAAAATCTTCTAGGGCTTCATCAAGAAAAATATACGACTGTAGTATGATCCATGCCCAACCTTCACACAACCAACTCGTATCGTAAGAACTACACCTCTGGAATTGTTCCACCTGCAGGAAACATGAGCATTGTGGCATACGAAGAATTCACACTAGAAACGTGAAGGCCTTTTGACACTTGCGTGCACTAAAATTAAATTAAATGTTATACAAACAACACCGAGGATGATTTCTGACTACCCGTCGCTGAGTTCCATTTAAGGCAATGCAATAAATCTCAATTCATTCGCTTTCAGTCTTCAAGAATACGATCCACCATATCCATCACATGAGTGTAGTATTCTCCTCCATCTGTACCACGACAGAGGAACTTCAGCGATGTATCCTCCTACGAACTTAAACATCACCAACATATAGATCCATCTCCTTGACTTCCGGTTCCGGAAAAATCAAAACTATCAACCAATATATGACGTGCATGCACAAAATCTTACTAGCCAACTCAATTGAGTACAGTAATGAACTCATGATATACAGCGTGGAAATTAGAAAAAACTTACAGATAACAAAATGGTTAAGTAAGTGGAAGAACTGGTAAAGTTGGTGACGCTTTTCAAATCCTGGGATCTTCGGTAGCAATTGGTGATAAGCAGTGTAGAAAGCCTCAGCTGGTAGACAACCCAACTTGTTAAAAGGTGAAGTGGAGATGAAAAGGCCGGAATCATGCGTGGTGTAAAGTATCAACAAAATGAACGAGTTTTCGAAGAAATGAACTTACAGAAGCCAGGGAAGTCTGGAACGGGTTTCCATCCCTCAAACGCAAGATCTGAAAAATAAAATAAAATAAATAATAAATAAATAAATCCAATCCAAGATATGCACCAGAAAAACAGATGGGCAGTGTAGTTGCAGAGATTCAAAGTAATGAAAACAATTTGGCAGTTTTACACAAAACCAAAAGGTTCACCTCTCTGTGGGATGCACAACGTGAAACGATATATGTTTTCTTAGAAGCAATCAAAAGAAAAATAGGGTATAGCTGGATCAAACTCGGAATACACGATGAGGTTTACCGAATTCAGCGTCACCAATAAAACCTGCTGGATCAAAAACTGCAACTTCTCCTGTAGCGACTAGTCCGGAATTTCCCATCTGGTAATTATTTGATCATGAGCACTACCAAATATTCAGAAACCATGCCAGACACAACTCGTTAAAGGGGGTACCATAAATTCAATAATGATATAGAATAGCTCGAGTCCCAGGCTCACCCAAAGATCACCATGGAGAATACTCGGTTTGGGATTATAATCCTTGAGGAGCGACCTTGCTCTTTCGACAACCATAGCACCTTTCATTTCTAGATCTGTCTTGTCTCCGCCCAATATTTCATACACCCTCTGCAAATGGGTTTAGATAACCGTCAGTGTCGAAAAAATCAAGTCCAGTCCAATGCCGACTGCAACGTTGACAGCAAGAATTATTTTTGAGTATTCATTGTCCTTTTCGTAATTCGCATGAGATCCCTTGCTTCAGCTGAATTGATTCATGTGGTAGGAGGGTTTACCTCAAGCCTGTCCCTTAGTCGTTGCTCGACAAAAAACTCCGACCAAGACGAATTCCAGCTGTTGTCTAGTGGAACTATTCCAACCCTGCAATCATCAAAGGAGCATATATGCCTCCATAAAATCAATCACTTAAAGAGAAGGGAAGTACGTCAAGTAATTGGCTTGGTACAAGAAATATGCAAGTAGTACTGAAGTGATGTGTAAGTGAAACCTTGTCGTCATTGGAAAACCGAAGAGGTCGCCAGAGTCGGCTAAGTGCAACCTTGCCAAATCGCGACCTAGCGCAGATAGACTGCTTTCTTGCATCTGGAAAGTTCAGAATAGGTCAAACCCAAGGACTGAGCACAAGAATGACAGCTGAGAATTGCTACGATATCAATTCTGAAACTGAACGTAGTTCTAGCATAGAGAACTCCAGATTAGGTATCCCACGAATATTCATTACCATGGATGAAGCTCAAGTAGCGGTTTAAGGAATCTCAAAGTACAAAAACTGACCATGCCGAAGGGCCTGAACCGCAGATGTTTCATTATTATATACGACCCTCCATCTGGTAAATTACCGCATCCTAGCGGACTGGGAACAACTAATGTCTGAGTCGCCACTAATCGCCTGAGCCTGCCAACAGCACAAGCATAACATGTACATATACAGAAAGAACAAAATGAGCTGAAAAATAAACTACACAAACATGAAGACTATCCCAACCACTGCATGCTTCCAACTTGAAGACGTCACCAGCGCAAGCAAGAAAAGGAAGATATATATATATATATATATATATATATATATATACGACAGTTCCGGATTGCACACATCCTTGCAATGCAACATTAAGGTCGCATACCTACGCTTCAGATTCGCCCACAAACATGCTGTCCATATCAAAAGCCCTGAATCAAAACCAAAAGCCAAACGTGATGTCCCTCTCAGTCAATGTCTGAAATAATAGCAGCACATGTTGCTCAGCATTCGCATTCGACGACACTTCCCAATGTCGTGCATTTCAATTTCGAGGTTTTGTTGGAGCATCAGAATACCAAGACGAAGAAACGTCAGCAACTGACCGATTAATCTTCACAAAAAAGTCTCCACCAGAGCAGTGGAATGCATAAGATTCGTTGATGCATCCACTGAAGTGAATTTCACGAGGTTTGCGAAGAAGCTCTCCGCAGCCAAGCTCTTTCAGATGAGACAAGATGGTGAAATCACCAGTGGTCATTCCTGCACCAGACTTGGCTGAGCTTTCCGAGCTGAAATCAAACCATGATGCAGAGCACTTCCACCTGCACACACAAAATTCACAAACCTCAATTATGGACCTCTCCAACATCACCAAGACAAAGACTAAACCCACAGAAAAAAATGCCCATTTAGATATTCACCAAGCGAGCACACTAACAGGAAATGCAATGTGAGGCCGGGTGATTGTACTCATACTTATCGGCGTCCATACGAAGCTCAAAGCGCTGTAATTTCTTCCCCAATCCAAGAGTTCTCCAGCCCTTATCTCCATCTTCACCTTTTGTAACATTCATGGCACGAAACATAACTATATTGCATTTCCTTCTAGGTCTGGCTATGGGCTGAATCTGGAGCTTAGAAAAGAGGGACCCATTTGACAAGCAAGGCTCGAGAACCCACATTATAAATGTGAAATGCTGATGGTAGTCGAGGTCACAACGGAGAGAACAACAACAATCCAAACCAAAATAGGAAGAACGACACAACCTTGCACACCAACAGAGTGCACAAGGGCTCCAACCCCTCAACCCTAAAATTTTGAGTTTTAGAAAGTAAAGAAACATTGCATTGCTGAATTGGATTTTGGACAAAGGAACTTAATATTATGTTTTTCAACAGTAGCACATCCTGTATTCTGTGCACTTTGCAATGTTTGGACTGCGTTTTCATCTAAACATAATGTTTTGTTCTGCGCCTTTTTCTACTTTTTACTTTTATATATAATTTTATTATTATAATTATTATTTCTTCATGTGTTTATTTTGAAGGAGATTATTTATGAGATTATTTATGAAATTTGATACAAGAGTATGTACTAAATTTGGGTAATTGTGGCTCATACAAGACAAAGGTGTTGTGATTGATGTTGTTAGAAGATTTTTTAAATCATTTATATACAAAAGTATAATTTATAAATTAATAGCAATAAATATTGGAACATTTCTATACTTAGAAAAAACAAACAAAATGTGAGAAAAATGTGAAGTTAAATGATTTTTTGTCTTTTTGAATGAATAGTATTGTTTCCCAAAATTTGTATTAGGACCATCTTCAAAATATTTTTTACAAACATTTAAAGAACATGTTAAATTGTTAAAAAAATATCCTTTAAAAATTAAAAATAAGAAATTTGTTCATATTTGAATAAAAATTTATAACTAAGATTTGATTTGGTGAGTAAAATAGCCTCTTTTTACTTATATTATCTTTAAAGACAAGCAATTCTAATCCTCAATGACCCTAAAAATATTAGATGATGGTTGGGTTGGACCTAAGTTTTTGAAGTAGTTCCAAAAAAGTTGGCAATTTGAACCCTAACTATAAAAGCATGACCACTCTTGACAAAAAAGTATATATATACTATGTCAACATGTCAAAAATAAAATGAAATAAAATAAATACAAACACTTCTAGAGGAAAAAATTTCTTCATTAAATTAGAGATCTTCATAAGACTTTTAAATTATAGCTAGTAATAGGCTTTTAGGTTTAAAGACTTTCCAATATCATTCTTGTACTTATCAACATAAAATTTAGTAAAACTACTTTGGTATGAGAATCTTTATGATTAAAGGTAAAGGAGGGAAGTCACTACTTTCTAAACTCATGATTGGTTGAAATTGAGAATTCTGCTTTGATTGACTTAATACTTTGAAAAATCAACCAAGATACAATGAGAGGAATACTTGAGGTAGAATGCATTTCCTTCCCTACATAGCATGAATGGTGTTGTTTCTTGGAGATAGTGTTAAACCTGTCTAAAGAGAGTTTTTTTAAAAAATTTAAGAAATGAGAGAAATTGCAAAGAATATATTTTATTAGAAAATTGAATCAAGTTGAAATATAGATATAAGTTGCAATCATAATAAAAAATTAAATTAAATCTGATTAAATTCATGTGATAAATTCTTCTTACTTTATACTATCTCCAAAGATTGAGATTTCTAAAACCATTTTTTTTTAAGAAACAAAAGCTTTTTTTTCATGACTTTTCAAAATAGGCTTCTAAGTCTAAAAGTGCCCTTTATACTTCCTACAATTTTTCAAATACACAACCAAAATATTCTTTATAAAAACAAATACTAATACTTTCTAAAACCCTTCCCTATCTTCTCAATTCCATTGTCATCTTCTCAGACATCCCCCTTAAAATTGGGCAACCATGTAGTTGTAATCCTAGGGCTTTTATTTTATTTTATTTTATTCCAAGTCTTGACTTTGGACAAAGCATGGGCCTATTGCATTTCCCAAGACAAACTGAATCCTTTTACAATGTTCATTGCACTGTGACATCCAAACACATTGTTAACTCCGTTTAATCAGGCAACGTCCATGCACACAAGTTTTTTCAAGTTCTCAAGTTCTCAGGAACGTTTGTGGCACTAAAACCTTACGAGTGTCAACAGTCTGTTCAAGTCTACAGACCTCTAATTACTCAGTATGGTTCAAAATACATCTTGTGCAACTGTGTTTGTGTGTCGTCTAGTTGGTTCCACCCACAGTATACCATGGTAATTGGAATTCCTACTTGTAACCAAAGCTATTCAACCAGTCTGACCATGTAACAGCAATACTACTTGTGCTCACAAAGTGACATGCCGTCTAACTCCAACCTAAACCAAAAGAATAAAACCAGGCCAAGGAGTGAATTTGTTAAATGGAAGTGGCAGACGATTTTGCTGCAAAGTCGGCCTAGGCTTAGTGGGAAGCAATGACTGGGAATTGAACCCTACATAAAAGCCACCAAACCTATGGGTTAGCCGCCAATTCAGAAAAAAATAACAACAGGCAGGGATAGATTACATGTCCGAAAAATGGGGCAACCATGAATCCGAACATGGAAGCCCAGAAGGCATTGCAGAATGAAGACATCTCCATCACATGTGACATCAAACAAAAATCATTTAAGGTTTTCAACATCCGCAAAACAAGACAGAAAAATCCCTCCGACGACTTCCGTCAAATCTTAAATTAGAATATCATATTGACAGCACTACATGGTAGCTTGCCTTTTAAATGACTTATAACAGACATTTCGCAATTCAAGCATCTGGTTTCACAAAAAGGTACTCAAAATCTTGCCTAACAACCACTCATCCTAGATAGGAACGAGCGCAATGTAATGCTTCATATGAAGGATTTTATTTTAGTTAGACATATGCAGAACAACTGTAAAAACGTCAAACTCCTAAGAATTCACACAATGACTTCCAGCGTCTAAATGTCAATGAATGTAACAGATAATTCCAAGAACCACACAAGACACCCACACTATTCTAAGAAAATCAAATGAGTTAGCAGATTGATGCACTTACCGCATACAGACACACAGTAAAAGATCCACGAACACTCCAAGATTCGAGTGAGGGGCTTCACAGTAAATCAATCCAAGGACATACGTAGAAACTGAGGGCTAGTTTGATTTCGACACCTCAACCAGGAGCTAGAATAGAACACTTTTTTGCTTCTTGTTCTTCTAATTTCGGAGTGATCAGTACACAAAGGGCAGGAGAAGTCTTAAGAACATGTTTGAGGATCACCTTAGACCTTCCTCTAAGGCATGAAACTGCTGCTCACGGACTGATAAAATTCTTTTCATGATTCCGATTGTGATGCCATCTGGCATGCAACCCTTCACCTTCATTTCATGGAATATCATCGCAGCCTCATGCACTTTCCCTGCTCTTCCAAGAATATCTATGAGAACGTTATAAGTAACCACACTAGGATTATATCCCTCCTCCTCCATTGAATCAAATAGCTCACATGCTTCTAAAAGTTTATCCACCTTTCCAAGGCTCTCTATCAAGGAAGTGAATGTGATCACATCCGGCACTATACCCTTTTCCTTCATCCGCTTGAAATAACTTTCAGCCTCATCGACCATTCCCATTTTGCCAACCCCATCGATGAGAATATTGTAAGTAACAAGATCTGGAACACAACCCACCTTCTCCATCTCCTCCAAGAGCTTCTCAGCCACGTTAAGCCTACCAGCTTTGGCAAGCCCAGAAAGCAGGTTGTTATAGGTAACAATATTAGGAGGGCACTGCCTACGTTGCATCTCCTCAAAGAGTTCAAGGGCTCTGTCCACCATTCCTTTCTTACCAAAGCTGTCAATGAGACTACTGTACACGCCGACATTTGGGGTGCACCCTTTGCTTATGGAGTTTTCAAAGAAATAGTAAGCTTCCTCCACTCTGCCCTCTTTCCCGAGAGAATCGATGAGAGAACTGTAAGTTACAACATCAGGAACACATCTCTTCTTTGCCATAGCCCGGAAAATAATGAGCGCGTGACTGAGTTTTCCTCCTTTACCAAGGACATCCATGAGTGAAGTATAAGCTACAACATCGGGCTCGTGGCCCTCTTCCGTCATTTTGGTGAACATATTAAATGCCTCCTCTAACCTTCCCGATTTTCCGAGACCGTCAAGAAGAGAGGTGTATGTGAAAAGATCCGGCAATATATTCTGATTCTTCATGCTATCCACCAACTTGCAGGCCTCGTCCACGCGATTGGACTTCACAAGCCCATTCACCATAATATTATAAACGAATGTATCAGGAACTAAACTGCTTTCTTGTAGCTCATTGAAAATCTGCAAGGCAAAATCGATCTTCTCATCCTTTACAAGAGAACTAAGCAGAGTTTTGTAGTTCCCCAGCAGAGGCTCCATTCCTTCTTCTTTCATCCTCCCAAAAACGTCGAGGGCTTGGTCCACATCGTCAGACTTGCAGAGACAATTAATTACTAAGCTATAAGTGGATACATCCGCAACACACCCTTTCCTAACCATTTCATCAAATAGACTCAAGGATTCTTCTTCTTGGTCCCTCTTATAGAAGGAAGCCATCAGTGAACTGTAAGTCACCACAGAAGGTTCGCAACCCTGTTTCTCCATCTCCCTTAGTAGACTCACAGCCTCATCCAGTCTCCCAGCCTTGCCCAAGCCATCGACCAACGTTGTGTAAGTTACCACAGTTGGAATGCATTCGTGCTTCTTCATTACCTCCAGCAGTTTGACAGCTTCATCCACATGTCCGTTATGAATAAAAGCAGACATCAAAGTGTTATACGTGATCTCACCGAGGGACTTGAATCCTAGGGAAGGATATTCAACCGTCCTGTCTGCTCCTTCGATGGTACCCTCGTGGCCTGCATTAGAATCTCTAGAGATGATACATTCTCCTCCCTTCTCTACCATTTCCTTGATAATTGCAAGGACCTTATCCATTTGACCACCTTTGCCCAGGACATCGATCAATGTATTGTAAGTGAACACATCTGGGACGGCCCCTTGCTCTTTCAAGTCATGGAAAAGCTGCCAAGCTTCAGGCTGGCGACCTGCTTTACCCAAGACAGATATCATGATATTGTATGTGCGTAGATTAGGCACTAAACCCCTATCCTTCATCTCCTTGAAAAGGCCGCATGCCATGTCTGCTTCACCTGCCTTACCTAGACCGTCAATAAGAGTATTGTAGGCAATCGCATCTGGAGAACAATTATTCTCCTTCATTTCAACAAACACTTCACATGCTTCTTCCAGTCTACCAGCCTTCGCAAGCCCATTGACAAGAGTTGTATATGTCACCACGTTCGGTGAACATCTCAGATTTTTCATTCCATTAAAAAATTTGCAGGCTTCATCAATGTTTCCAGACTTTACAAGTGCATCGATTAACACTGTGAAAGTATGAACTCCTGGATCAATACCAGATTTGATCATTTCCTGAATTGGCTCTGCTGCTGGATCAAGTCTCCCAGATCTGTTGAAACTATGAACAAAAATGCGAAATGTTTGAGCATCTGGCTGAATACGAAATTGCCCCAATTTCCCAAAAACAATAACAGCACTATGGTAGAAACCACCCTTCACGAGGAGCTCAAGCACAAAGTTGTACATGTTTGTGCTTGGATTACATCCAAAACTCTTCATCTGATTGAAAATCTCTAGAGCCCCGGAAACGTTATTAGTACTGCCAAAGGTACGCAGTAAAGAGGTCAAAAGGTGCATAGAAATCCGGTGACCTTCCTTCCACATGGCTGTAAGTATTTGAACCACTGCGTCAGTCTCCTGAGCCCCGGCGAGCCGTTTGATCATTAGAGTGTATGTCCCCACAGTATGACTGTAACCGTCCTGCTGACCTGCCCACGTAAAAAAACACTTGGCCAGGTGGAGGTCCTTCTGATTCACCACCACGTCGCACACAAGACCAGGATTCAACTTGAACTTGAGCCTCTCGAGCTGCTTCCCCATTTCGGCATCCCATTTTCTTCTTCGGATTACTCCGTTAATCTTCTTCAGCTTGAACTTATCACCACCCGAACGCTCAACTGCTTCCAAATTACTGATTTCTGGAACGTCCAATCTAGGACTCAGAATACCGGCAGTATAATATCTACACCCTGAAGCTAATTGTATCCTTTCCTTCACCATCTGACGTCTGTAACGCGCCTGAGGAATTTCAACCAATCGATCCGGGAACCCGACACAGTCGACGATTCCATCCTGCCCACTCGCCGACGACACATTTCCAGAGATAACCCCTGTACTATGCCCACCAAGGTGATGGGAACACAATTGCTGCTGGAAGTGAGTAGCAGCGATCACATGATACATAGATCTTGTACGCCATTTCCTAACAGCAATGGGTAGCATCATCCGCCCTCTACGCAGAAACTGACGCCCCCGACTAAATACCAATCATGCAACTAAAACACAAAGTATCCGCTTCGAGTTCAAACCCCCTCGACTCGTCTCGACTGTCCCAAAATTATCCTCAAGCCACCCACCACTGTCCCCTCTCACACTCTAACCCAACTCTGATATCTTTGACCCACCATGTCCATAACTCAAAACTAAACCCTACAGCCCACAATGTCACGATCTAGCAACACCCACCGCAATTGGGTTAAACCCATAAACCCTAATCAATCTGCTGCAAGCTCCGAATCCCCTTATACGAATCTGCCAATGTGAGCATCCTTGTGCTACCTTTCACCTTGTCTCTCCCCAAACCCCAAGTAGTGAAAATGCACAGAAACTGGGCTAGTGAGTGGGGAAGATGGGCATAAGAAACAACTGAAGAGGGAAGAGTGAGAGGCGAGTCAGTGAGTGAGTGAGTGAGTGAGTGTGCATTCGAGATTTGGATGCGACGAGGAGGAGGTGGAAATGCGCCAAACCGCAGTGGCCACATCGGGTTCAGTCTCATCGTGGATTTTGCAGTGGAGTGGCTCTCCCTCCTAGAATCGTGTCGCAGAAACCTCCTTGTTCAATCGACTGGCTCGAGACATCTGGGCCGTCGGATTTCCATATTGAATCCTGGCTTCACAGGATTTATTGGAACGCAGGGAGGGAACAGAAGGGAACCAGGGGGCGGGCAGGTTGGAGGGCGGCAGGTTGGGAACTCAGAACCCATTACCGATTGGGCCCGCACGGATCCATATTCTGCCACCTCATTGGGCCCACCCTGATCCTTATTCACAAGGATGCGGAAGTTTGTTCAGGGGCTGCCTCTCAATCCCAATTCTCATCCATCACTCTTGCTTCAATTTTTTTTTTTTTTTTTTTTTTTTTTGTTTTCATACACAATAGGAAATGGCACTCATACATGTACATGATATTTTTTTTCAAGGAAGAATTTTTGCTTCTTAAAAAATTTACTCATTAATTTTTTCTCAAACACAAATATTTTATAAAAATAGGATTCATTATTGAATATTGGTTTTTACAAGAAAATAAATATAAATTGGCTAAATTTTAATTTACTCTATTTTTATAAAATATTTAAATTAAAAATAATTTATTAAAATATTATAAAATTTCTCTTCAAAATATTTTGCATATCATAAAACAAATTCTATGAGTATTATGAATCTAAGTAGTTTTGCAACTAAAACAAATGCAATCATCATAATAGTGTGGTCATAAAAACCACCACTAAAATGAATCTTTATTATATATAATAGTAAATACCACATATGAACTATCATTAAATCAAATAAAATCCTTAAACAAAACATCAAATTTTCCATCCACATTCTTAATAAATATCAAAATCTTTGAAGAAAAAGTCTACATCTTGGTCAATATTGCATCCTTCCTTATCTAATGCAACACTATTATCGTCTTTTACAATCATGTCTTGGAAATTTCAACACTCAATTTTGGTGACTCTAGTAAAAAAAAAAAAAAATGTTTAAATCACTATATTTTAGATATGTTTCTTTGCACAACATAGATAGTCTCACTTGTATATACGTTTTCTAAATAACTTCTTATCTTTGTTGTAAAACTTTGAATCTATAAAGTTTTTGAGCTATTAGATTTTTTTTGCCATATCTTTCTTCATTATCAAATTTTTTCTCTTTTTTTTTTGGCTTTCAAATCCAAGTCTAGTACTTGTAACTTGAGCTAATATAGGAATAATACTACTACCTCTTTTTAGTATAAGGATTTATAAAGGTCTTGGTAATAAGTTTCTTATATCTCCTAAAAGTACCAAGGTTGATTTTGTTGTTTTATTGAATATATTATATTATTCTATAGTTAAAGTCTCCATCTTATTTGGTGTCATCAAACTATTTATCTCAAATAACTTGTGGACTTGAATAGCATGCCTAAGAATTTGAATTCTACTATCTCGTCCATTGCTTGGACCATCATTTGATCTATTACTTGGACTATCATATAATTTATTACTTGAGCCATCATTATAAACATCTTCTTCTTGGTCAAAGAAGCCATTGTTTTTATATGCGCTTAGTAATAAATCCAATATATGTGGATATTTTTCATCAATAATCCATCTTCAAACCCACATGTATTTACATATGAGACCATGTTTATTGCATTCACACCATTTGTAAGATAAATTGACAATATACCATTTTTTTAGAATATCTTGGCTTTAAAAAGAAATTTCCATGTGATATGTAAAAAAAACATCCAAATTCGACAATTGGTCTTGTTTGTAACATTCAATGAACAACTTAGTTCTTTACAACCTTGATAATTGTTGTTTATCTCCACTTCACTTAATACTTTCTTAATTAAAGAATAGTTTCTTAATTCACTTAATATATGGATATTGTAGTAGTGTTATATTAAAGTAATTCCTCTAAAATGATGTCTTGTATCTAGCTTGCCTATCAATATAATAATAAGTTCATCAAATTGTCAATTCACCTTTCTGTTTAAAAGAATATATTTTACATATTTTTACATATATTCTATAAAATTAGTTGTATTGAAATATCCATGATAATATAACCTAGTCCATTTTGGCTATATCAGCTTCTATTGGCAATTGTGCCTTGTCCAACCATTTTCTACATATTTAAATACCTTTTTATTTTTAATATATATAATCTTAAATTTTCTGTATTCAATATCAATTTTTTAATATATGATAAATTTTAATATAAAACATATTATCTTGTATAAATAAAAATACTAAATTTTAAGTAATTCAGGCAACAAATATTTGATTCATGTATTTTTTGTATGGAACCAATACAAAACTATATGATACTTTACTTGAATTTCATCAATTTTTTTATTTTCTTAATGAAAATAATCTTCTTTAATGAATTTCATTAAAGCCTTATATTTTATATTATTTTTATTAATTACTATTGGATTTGGTTAAATTATATTTATATTTTGAAACATGATATATATTGTAAGATATAATATTATTTGTTCTTGATTACTATCTTTGTCAGTATTATAAAGCATCAAAAAAATTGGCTTCCTCAATTCCATTGCATTAGAATATATCCTAGAATATAATAGCATATTCTATTGATTGGTCTTAAATGTTGAATCCATGATCCATGTATGACAAAAAGTATTTTTACTATAATTATTATTTATGTGATATGAATAGGTAGAAGTGTTAAAAATAAATTAATTTCATAATATATTTTAGAGAAGCTTTTTAAAAGCTTTATAGATGTTTCTTTGACTATACATGTATTTTTATTGGTTGGTAGGTTAGAAATTTAGTCAATAAGTTTACCTTGTGCCAAATATATTGGTAGCTTGCAAAACAAGCTAATTATGTGGTGTTTTCGTGATGTAATACAATTAATAGGTAAAAAAGATGAAGAAATTATTGAAGATCTTACTTCAAATATTGTAGCAAATTATCTTAAAAGATAGACAATAGTCTAAGAGAAAGTAAAATTAAAGGTATAAATGCTATCTTTTTGTAAAGTAGGCTTTTATTTACTTTGTAAGGTGATAAATAAGGTAAAATAAGGTAAATTATAAAAATAAAGAATATGAATATATGTAGGAAGAAGTTAAGAGTTGATTTGAATAAAAATAAATTCAAAAAAAAAATTGATATCCCAAGAGGTCTAGTTATGAACCTGGATTGAAATAAGACCTTAAGGCACAAAATTGAGCATCTACAGTAATTGTGAGATTCTTTTGTAGATTGGAGAACGGAATTTGAGAGAAAAATTAATAAAGTTTCTTTAGACATTGATTTTGAGTGATTTGAGTATATAATGACTTTGTAAGAGCTTTGAAAAGTTATAGTTATTTTGGATAATTCTAGAATTTATGAAATAAAAACTATATTATATTTTGGAGAATTTTGTAAGTTTTATAGTAGATCCATGGTTTAAATTTTAAGAACTTATGTAAATAGTTGTTTAAAATATATGTTATAATTTTGAGCTTGATCGAATGGTTGAATTGAAGATTATTGAATTTCAAATAGGTTGAAGTCTTAGAAATTGGACTTTGAGGGGCAATTAGGATTTCTAAGATCTTTTGCAATCTTCAAGTTGGATTGGAACGAAATTTATATATAAAAATAAAAAAAATTAATTTACTACACATATGTGAAATTTGAGAACAATTGAATGGTTTGAAAAAGAAATATTAGCATGAGAAGTTCAATATTCAGATTGGAGTAGGAGGTAGGCCAATACCTAAGCAAATTTTAGGATTTTTCTTCGATTTGAGATAAGACTTTGTTATTGCAATTTCCATTCTACTTTCTATAGCTAAGTGCTTGGTCCATTCTCAAGCAAGACTTTATATAATACAATAGTGTCCATATAGAAAACTTGCCTTGTAAGTTAAGTTATGTATTGTCTAAAATCAAAATATTTTGAGGTCGTATAGAACATCATTACATAGCTCTTAGGTAGATAGTATATATAGAGGCAAGAGTGAAGTCTTCTTTACTCTTGTCAATTCTTTTCTTGCTTCTAATCTAATTTCAAGAGTCTATAGTTTTTTTGTCTTTTGACAATAGCCATTCTAATTTCTTTTTAATATACATACCTTCTTATTTCTATTTTACTATACTTCTTTGAGAAAATCTCACTTGTTTATTTACTTTCATTAAATTCTTGTCCTTAAAAAATTGATAAGAATACACTTACAATATCTAAGCTTTGTCTTTTTTTTTTTATTAAGAGTAGATTATTCTTTTTTCTTGATAAAACATAAGTATATTAGAGGTTGCAAATAATCCTCTTCTAAATTGATATTATTTTGAATATTTTTTTGTTCTCTCGTTCTTTTCTTTACTTGTCTTAAGCAATATTATACATCTTTTTTCTTCTAAGTATTATTATGGCAAAGGTTTTTAAAATGAAAAATGCAATAGTACAAAATATAAGAACAATTGAAAAAGTTAATACTTGTAATGCATCAATTCCATTTACTACCACAAGAACGAACAAGATTAATAAAATGTAGAGATATAAAAATGATAGAAGCTATTTCAACATTTGTACGAAATCATATTTCTTTTTTTATAATAGAATACCATTCAAGCTTTAAAGAATCAAGAATTGCCTTACTTGAGAAATTTGATGGTACAAGATCAAAGTTTTGAAGTTTCATTAGTCAAGTATAACTAACAATTGAACTTCTATTCTAAAGCTATCTAATTCTAGGATC